ACTTAAATTTGGTTCCACATTTTTATCACTGCACTTTTTTTAGATTATAGGATAGGATATTCTTCTTAAACTTATTTAAATACAGAGAGTGTTCAGCTTAAACAGTAACTTACCACTTATTTTTCCAGTTGTAGGTCCTTTGAAGGCCCTAAATTTTCTTTAAAGAAGATAACACTTATACTATTTCTTGGACGAGATTTTTTAATTAATTTTGTTCTTTACACATGTAAACAAATTTTTATGTCTCTTGTTTACAAGCTGATTGTGGTTATACATTCAACTGAAGTATCAGCTGTTAGATTACAATTCATAACCAGTTATAATTTATAAAGAAAGTTTGTCAGCAATACCATGCAATACCGAATATTTGCAAGTGACCTCTACTGCACTATTACTATTTCTAATATTCGTGCTCTACTGTAGAATTATTTGAAAGGCAAGGTGGGGCGAACCCCTGAAGGATTTACCTTTTACGTGATTCGCGTGATTCATAAGCTTTAAAATACCACCTCAATAATGAAAATCGGTTAAATAGGACAGCTGAAAAAGGATGTATAACAACGAAAACCCTTTATTGTAGAGAGATGAGTTACCATGAAGTTAGTAATTTTATTTCTAAAAAAAAATATTACCAGTGTCAATGTATAGTTTTACCTTTTGTAAGGTTTGTTGTGATACTTCCATTCCAAGAAAATAAATACAGTAGCATTCATATTCTTATTTTCCGTTGCACCTATTCGAAAGCTAAGGAGGGAAAAGCTCAAAACTGATAATTTGCCTCGGGGTTTACATCGTCCTCGGTAGTATAGTGGTCAGTATCCCCGCCTGTCACGCGGGAGACCCGGGTTCGATTCCCGGCCGGGGAGGTAACTTTTTGTTAACTGCTAATTTAGTTTTAGTAGTCTTTTGCTGCATTAACTGTCACATTGTTACTGTTAATTTAACTGTTACATAGGTACATGTTAGAACGAGAATATTTAAATTTTAGTTTATTCTCATTCCTAATATATTTAATTTCTCAGGTATTTATGGTCTAAATCAGTTTGTTTGATTAGGTTAGGTACACAGCTTATAGTGTATTCCCAATACAAATTTTGTTCGGTTAGATAATATGATAAAACTGAAATAACTAGAAACTAGACTACCGAGTCACTGACACCGGTATCCTTAACATTACCCAATTCAACCTGGATTTGGACCTTGGATTTGGTTGATTTGGATTTGATACAGTGGGTTTAGAGTCCATGTAACAAAACTTAAAAATATTAATGTAATCAGTAATCACATCAGCTCTACTGGTACAAACCCAGTAAAGTTTATACGGTAAATAATACCATGGACTAAGGAACCAATTATTATGTTCTGTGTGATAACATAATTTCATGATGTTAACGTGATCGTGACGGTTCTGTTGTTGATGAGTTCACTGGGCTTCCCTCTTCAGCATTGGGACAAATAGTTTCACAGAAACGGATGTATAAAGTGCATTTAAACTTAATAGTGACGTTGTGTTGTAGGGACAGGAAATGACTTGTCCCTCCCTTCCCGTGACGACCACTTCCATTTCCGGTGCGTCTCCGTGACGGTCGATGGTGCGGACCATCAGTCATCAGTCCCGTATCGGGTTGTTGATTTTGCCAAGGTTCACTTTACTTAACTGCTTTGCTTGCTTGACAGATTTGCAGGTAAGATTCGCATTGGCGAGGTAAGCACTCTTGCTTGCGATGCCCAAAGTCCACGATGTCGTTGACTCTGTTTGATAAATGCAAGTAGACGTCAAGACGTCTCATACTATTGTAAAATTGTATAAATTGTATTGTAAAATTGTATTGTATAAAATATTGTGTGTCATGTTGGTTTACCTGTGAACCAACATTTAACATTTTTAAACATTTAGGGGCATATTTTTAAATTCTCTGAAGATCTAATGATGACGAATAGAAAAGAAAAAGTCATAAAAGGGAGTAGCACATGACAATAATATAAATGTTAGTTTAAATTTACCTTTCCATCGTTAATATCACAGTATCGCACGTTCAACATGACAACCTGACCCCCAACCTGTTATGTGGTTCAATGTTCAATGTAACACAATGAGCGGCTATTGTCTCCACTTTCCAGATGCAGTAACACAACAGACAACCATCGAGGTAGACTTCCAGACAGCACAGTGAGCGGCTCCTTCCTCACGATATACAGACGACACGGCGAGCGGCTCTTGTATCCTGATACAGCAACACACCAGACAACACAGTGAGTGGCTCTTGTCTCCTGATATAACACAACAGACAACACAGTGAGCGGCTCCTTCTTCACGATATACAGACGACATGACGAGCGGCTCTTGTCTCCTGATACAGTAACACAAGAGACAACACAGTGAGCGGCTATTGTCTCCACTTTCCAGATACAGTAACACAACAGACAACACAGTGAGCGGCTCTTGTCTCCTGATACAGCAACACAATAGACGCCGCCGAGAGATTCACGGCCCTACCTTGATAGCTGACTAGAATCCATAATGGGACTTCTTGTCTCGACATTTTATCCATCTCTACTTTGAAAAGAGCTCCGCGTATTTTGCTATTGGTCCGTCCAATATTGGTCTTTATTATACTATTAGACTATTTTGTTTGTTTCTGCATAAAATGTAATGTCATATTAGTAATAATCCAGCACTCGACCTGTGTGTGAGAATGAAGAATTCGGGGTTATAAAATTAATACCTGTAATATGGTAAAACTAGTGAAAACTCAACTCCATAAATAATTAAATCATTCATAATATAAACACAAATCACTAGTTGTAATAGAACATTTTGTTGAATGGCAATACATTTCAGGGAAAATCTTGCAAAATGCGCTATTTTGGTTATTCCAGATCACAAAGCGATGGATCTTTTTTTTGGTTGAACTGGTTTGAATTTGGTGGAATGGAATGAATAGTTACACCAAAACACTGCCTCCACATGCCGTACAGCGAAAATGTCTTGACATTTTCTTCAGATAATCCATAAGGAAAGGATGACAAATCTATAGGGAAATACGTCTAATGAAAATAGTAATGACTCAGGATTCGTGTTGATGGCTTAACACTGGACTATCCATCCTTGATCAATGGGCTTTTAATATACGTTATCGGTTATCTTACTCTATATAGACGTTTTCCACATTTATATTTTAATCACGTTGAGGATCGAATACGCAGCATTGTGCCCCTGTCTGAATATAATGATAAAATGATGCGATTTACATAACAGCTGCTGTGCAATATAGAAAGGCGTGTAGAGTGTAGACGGCTGATGCAATAATGGCTGAAGCTGACACTGATAAACATTTCGACACGAGCGTGATGCAGGCGTCAACAGTCGCAAGTCATACAAAAACAGCTGATAGAGTACACGTGCGATGGTGTCATTCAAATGTTATGTTTCCGTCTCACTGCAATAAAATGGATGTTTTCAATACGTGTGTCGCGGGAAAGTATAGTTGTTTGTCCCAGGGTAAAAAGGACATAATCTGTACATTGTTTTCTGAAGGGCAATTAACACAATCGTAACCTACAACGATTTCGTAACCAGCAGCATGTTGGTTAGGTAATCCCAACAGTATCTATTTTTTTTTTTAATTATGATAGCAAACTACACATGTAAACGGAAGCCACTTTGGAAACTCAAAACAGAGACATTTTTCGTTTTGTGAATTATTTAGGTTTAATTGTGGATCGCTGATTTGAATATGAATAAAGATGCACTTGCTAAAACGATTAGGCCTAGACTTGGACTTGATGTTTCTGACAGTTTATTTGATCGTTAAAGTATTTCTGATTTCCGACTCACAGGCTAGGGGATAAGATTTTCCGCTGTCTATTTCTTTACCTGCATGTTGGGTCAGGAGTACTTATATAGAATAAGTCATTACTTAGCCTAATTGAATTATCTAATTATTTTTTTTTTTTACTGTAGGTACTTAAATTAGTCAAAGTAATTGTAATTTCATATAACTGAAGAATATTAGAATGTAATTTATTCTTGTATTGTTGGGAGGGCGGCGTCCTAGAGTCCTTATTAATGGGGATTGTCAATTGTAATATTACAGTACTTCTACACTATTATAACCATTGATATAATTTTAAATACAGTACCTATAAAATATAATTTTTTTTAAATTATGAAGTATCTATCCTGACTTATATTCTTATTAAGACCAATTTCTGACATACACATACCACAATAACTACAGTAGTTAAATCAAACATAAGAGCAAAAAGTGTCCCAGTAAGCAACTCCGCTTACTAACTTGCACTTGTGCACACTCTATCGGAGAATAGTTCTACTAACTACAGTCGTTCACGCTCTAGTGGCAAAGAGGTGTACTAGTTCTGTTCTTCTCTGGTAACAATCAGCTGAACTACAATCAATTCAGTGTTGCCAACTGACGATATTTAGCACGAATTTCAAAGATTTCTGGGCGTACTTATTTTTATTTTTTCGAGGATTTCATAAGATATTAGGATAAAAGCTTCATAATTATTTAATTTGGATGTTTAAACCCTAAATTTATGTTGACTAACCAAATCAGGGAGCAGTGAAATGTGTTAATCAAGTATTACATGGTATAAATGAAAACTCCTCTATAAATTAAATAATTAATACCAGTAGTAGTTTCCACCTATAACAGTAAATAATTAGTACAAGTAAATAATTAGGGTCTTTAAGCATAATGAAACAATATAAAAATTATACTTATTTTCCGTTATTTTGAATCCCTAATATTATTGTTGAGTATGCCTGGTCAGGGTCATTACATAAAATCAGGTACCGGTAGAGGTTTTTGTAAAGAATCTGATATTAAACTACCTACGTAAACCCTACCCAACCAAACTAAACAGTAAAATAGCACCAGCACCAGGTTCACAATGAAAAATAGTAGTAAACCTATCAATTCAGTATTTCGAATGTCAAAAAAGAAGAGTGCGTAAAAAAATAAAAATAGGCTATATTTAATTTTACAAAACAAACACTTGTACATGTTTCTTTCAAAAACATTAAAGCTATCAGTACCTAGGCTATAAATATTATCTAGGATAAGTTTTTTAGAACACACTAGAACCGACATAATCCACTACCTTTGGACAAAATTCAGAAGCCAAAAGCCCATAAGCTTGATTGGAGTTGACATCAACGTGAATTCCATGACTGAGATAGTTCCAAAAATGAACAATATATGAAGATTTTTTTATTTTACTTACCAACTGAGGTCCGATTGCCTTATTAAAAAGTAAATCCTTTTCTTTGAAATTCACAGGGTAAAATACTTCTTGAGGCAAAACATGTATAGCTTTGCACTTGTGTATTGCCTTGTTAATAGTCTTGAGGCCGCATTTTTGTAGGATGACGCAAGTCAAAGCATCGGGACCATTAGCACCCCAGACTTTGCTGTCGAAATTGCGACTGATGAATTGAATAACAGACTTCATCAAACTGTGTCCATCACCAAACGGTTCAACGTTTATCACTGCTCCGTTGATGGATTTTGAACTTTCAAGTCCGATGTAGTTAGAGCCTAAGTCATTCAATGACTTGATTGTTATGGTATCCAGGTCTAGATAAGTACCACCAAATCTACAAAGCACAGCAACTCTTAGAAGATCACTGAACGTTTCTACTGGGTAGTCTGAACGTTCCACTCTATTAGTTTCGTATAGTTGTCTCAACATGGTGTGTTCAAAGACTTTTTCAGCATTCAAGCGAACAATTTTAACATTCTTGTAAACAAAAAGAGCTTTGACAAAGTTTGGGGAGTAAGATATGAAATCGTCAGAGATAGGACAAGTGTATAGAATGTATATTGGTCTGTCGGGGTTGGTGATGGCAGCAGATTCCACAGCACAAGCTTGCCGAGGGTTAAGCGTCATCATTTTGCTATTGATTTGGTTTTCTTTTAACACATTCGATTTACTACATGTACTTTCAATAAAAAACACATTCGAGACACTTAGTCTGATTTTTATGTACTCCTCAAAAACATTATTTTGCTTGTTTTCAATCTCTTCATATTTTGGTGTTCTTGGATCTTGTTCTCTAGGAAAGTGCATATTCTTCATGTTATGGTCTCGGAGACACGATAGGATCTTGATGAGGCAAAAGCACACAAGAATTACTAAAAAGAAAATTAATTTCTTATTGGATCTCTTTACAGAATTAATAGTACATTCTGACATATTTACTTTGGCAGTGAAGCAAAATAAAAGATTTGATCAGAACTTAACAAAACAGCTGTTGAAAAGAGTGTAAATAATCACATGGTTCCTTGGCAAAGAAAGTAATAGAGTAATTTGTTCAAGCCTTTTACATTATATATTGTACCTTTGATTATTCATAGAACTAGACATTCCATCCCATGCTGAAGTTGTCCACGGTTACAGAATGAAAATGGGCTTAGTTGAATTTAGTTACTGACAGGGTGTTCTGATGTTACCTGATTTCTGTTGCATACACTGTATAAACACAACTATAGACTCTTGCCATATTATCAAATCATGGGAATAAAAGAGAGAAAATTTAATTTCAACTGTAGCACAATCTGTAAGGGGCTCCACTTCAGTAAATAGGCTACAGCTGGAACATATAGGCTGCATGAGTTGTCTACTCTAGTACCCAACAGTCAATAGTTGTAGGCTACTTACGGTACTAAATACAATCTCCAAACAAACACTATCCAAAAATAGCTTACTAACACAAATATTAAATGATAAAAATTATAAAAATGTAAAATTGACTTTGTAAAACCAAAAACCTACAAGCACTCAAGCAAGATCTAGCAACATCAAGGTGATTATTAATCCCTACCATCTAACCAAAAACTTACTAAGCTAGGGAATTGTATATTTTGTTTTTGGAGTAATTTAATCTTAGACATTAGTAATTTAGACATCTTAGTAATAAGTAGACGAGGGACAATAAATTTTAATATGTTTCACCAATAAAGGCACTTGTGCCCGTGCTTCAATTAAAATCTGAAGCAATTTTTCTGTCAAATATTTCATATCAATCCAGAAAATGTCTTAAATTTATGATAAATAGTCTTATTGTCAATGAGGAATGGATAACAGATGGACAAAATAAGCAAGACATTTCAAATTTGTTTGTAACAGTAACAAATTGTGTTTAATATATACATAAATTACAAATAAGTCTATATCACATTTTGGTAAAAAGCAATCAAGAAATATATAAAAGCTATACATAATGTACATGACAATTCTAAATAACTATAGCTATAGTATAAATAATTTCTACTGGATTTCATAGTATGCTTTAATTTTTACTAGTCACTCAATTTTTTAAAGTTTATTTTAATAAATAAAACATTTCTTTATAATGAATATGAGTTCAGTACATTAAACTTGATTTATTTTTTTGAAAAGAAGTAAAACCTTGGGGACACTACAATTTTTCACCAAACCTCTTAATGGAAATAAATTGTTAAACATAGGCTATATATTTATACAATTTTTTAAATACGAATGGAAGAAAAGTACTCATTGAGGGAGCTTTAATAATGAGATAAAGCTATTAGGATATCTGTTTCTTGTATGTTTCAAAAGTTTTTTTCAATACATACATTTTCAATAAATGAATACCACCCGGTACCATAATCAAATTAATTAAAAACGCAAAACTGCAAAAGTTCTGCGTATTGTAAAATATGAATCTATGCCTGTGTTCAAGCTAAAATCCAGAAATATTGAATATTTTATTTGTAGCTATTATGTAAGACTCTAAGAATTCTATAATATACCAGTTTGTACTTTTGTTATCAACTATTTAAAATTATTCTTCATCCAATATGTCATTCAAAGATTACATGTTAAGAAAATAAAAGTAATATAAATAATGTTTGTTATCTAATTTTACACTTTATCTATTTTTCATTAAAAAATAATTAATTTTGTAACCAGTTTTTCATGTAAGTTTAGCATTTAAATAAAATGTTAAACACTGAATAAACACTCTTCTTAATTCACTATTACAATAATTAACAATTTGTAAACAAAATGTTTTTACAAACTTTTTTGTATTCTTTTAATAAAAGTTAACTAATGTAGAATCATAAAACCACCACTTCTCATAAAACTTGTCTAGCAAGCCTTCACACACGTTAGATTTTGGAATATCTAAGTTTAAAATGTGGTGTGTTAAACAAAAAGAGTTCACTTACTATGATTTCTGGATCAATAGTTGAAACCTTAGAAATGCTCTTGCATCTTTAAAAAATGTAATAGGTCTTTTTAGTTAAAAACATGTCTAAAGAAAGACTAAATAAAAATCTTTGGTGTAGATTAATATTCAAGTACAAAAGAGTATAAATTAGCTGCAGCCTTAAAACACAATTTATTTCCCATGAAAGCTAAAAGTGAGAATAGCCTTCTACATCCTAGTGCATTAGAAAATTGTAAATTATTAAATAAATATAACTGAGTACAATATACAATATAAATTAGCACCGAATATACACTCTTAGTAGTATGCCTGTACATATAATATAATCGTTGTACATTTATTCCACTCTTTTTTACACCTTAAATCACTACCTGTAAAATGGAATGAAAGTGAAAATGCAACATTTGAGTATAAAAAGTTAGGTAACAACTTTTTCAAAAATTCGCTGTAAGAAATATTTTCTTAAGTTGGTAACACTATTCGCTTTTCAAAACAATACTTGGTAAAAATACTGAGAGGTTGTACTTATTTTTTGACGTCTTCAGTATTCAGTACGGTCGACCAGCGCTGTATGGGCGATCTGGCAGCTTGGGAGGGGGGTTGGGTACAGGACGCCTGGCACAGAAATAAACTGAATAAACATTAAGTTGGCAGTAAATTAATTAACAAACAAAATAATTATTTAATAGCACTTCGCGTGTTGGTGCTTGTGTGAACAGTGAAATATAATGTACAAAAAATCTAAAGTTTTCTGAAAAATGTTATAATTATTTTATTCAAACAGGGGAACCTAATTAAGTATGCAATATTTTTTTATTTTCAGTGACAACCAGCAAGGAACTTGTTTTTTATTGTTGGAGAGTGATCAGAATAGTATAGTAAATTGTTTTACCTGAATGTTATTACTTCTAAAATAGCAAATGACACATCATTCTTCAACAGAGGCAGGTTAAAATGTCAAAATCTGTATAAGATATGCACGGAGGAGTTTTTCAAAAGTTTTGAATAAATTGTAACGCAAAGCGCAAATACAAACTACACTAAACATTTAATACTGCTCGACCAATCACAGATTTATTAGGTATATAATAATGAAAAAGGTAAAACAACCATGATTAAGGAATAAAATCTTACCTTTATCTTATCTTGAGTGAGTGTCTTAGAAATTCTTTCTAATAAAATGAAGCATAGACAAGAATACAATTTAAGCTACTGTAACAATAAAACCAAACGAAAGCAGACAAGTTATGCAATAAATGGTCACTACTTGCATCATCACTAACTTCAGGTAACCTCTGATAAGTAAATACTACCAGTTACGTAGGTGTTAGTTGCAAAAACAATGCAAATTATTTACAACTTCTACAATCAACTGAATGCAATAACACAACATGCTTCTTTTAGGAGGAAATATATTCTGTACACCGCTAAAATAAAACATAATAATATACAACTCAAATAAAATGATCTACACTACATTCAAAGTAATAAAATAAATTATAGCCTATTAACTGGGGATGACAAATTAAATATACTAGGCTAACATAAAATTAGAAGCAATTAAGCATATAGTTGATCTATTTCACATTTATTTTTAAACAATACCAAACTGACCAATCTTGAAAGTTGAAACTGTGTAGAATCCGCAGAATCTTTTCCCTTTAACACTCCTCTTCTTGATTAACTAGCAATTTGTCAAAAATACCCATTTTTATCAATAGCTGTTGTTTCTTCAGAATTATTCATTAACGTTGGTAATCCCTAAATCTAAGTTTCAAGAATGGTATTAAGGAATTATTATTCCTTTTCAACCTTCTCTCCAAAAAATTCCTATACAAGCACAAAATTTCAGTATTATTTTATAAGTACCTGGTCTCCCAATTTTCTTAGTTAAGTTTGCTGAACTCTATTCCTTAAAAAAAAAAAAACAACTCCCAAAAAATTAAACATTTGACTTTCTTTTGAATTATAACCTGTCTTAATCATTGTCAATGATTGATTGTTGCTTAATCTTTTGAGTTGAATGATACAAACCAATCGTGACTGACTACTGTTTTGATCAGTGAAAATTTAGATGAGGCGGTATAATTCAAATTCATACAGAATTGACTTTGTTAGACATATTAAACAAACATTTGTCTGTGATGTAAATATAAATGTAAGAAATGAGAGTTATTCTTGTGCACTGGAATTTAAAATGTGTCCTCTGAGATAAATCATATCACAAGCAATATGTTAGTAGTTTTTCCAAGTTATCTTTGGATTAGGCAGATTTTCAAACTTACTTAACGTTTACTTTCATGTTTCCTTCTGAAATTAAAAAAACGTTCCTTCTATCGTTACAATTTGCAATAAAACACAATTTGAATCAGAGTTAGTTAACACTTAATTTCTGTACATTTCAAGCTAAGAATATCTTTTTAAGTATTAAAAGTCTAGAAACAGATCACGATTTAACTTCTGCAAGATCTGACATAGTTTTCCATCTAACCTTTGTGAACAAATAGAGAAGGAATGAAATAAAAGACTTATTTATATTTACATTTATTTGCAATACGTTATAACCTACCTAATATACACTAGCGACACATAGTGCAAATAACAGTCAACTTTGCACAAAACAATCGGGTTAATTGACTTGTATACAACGTAACTGTCGACTTACGGAATGCTTGGCGCAGGTAACATTAGTATCAAATCAGTTTAACACACTAACCTAATGGAACGATGAGCGAGATGATGTCGACTCGACGATGAAGGTAAATGTTTTATGTCAAGGTACAATACAAAAAAATCTGATTTGAGATGATAAAATACAATATCTCTATTAGCAATTTTAATATTTAGCGTAATTAAATCTCTAGCAGGTATTTGCTACACTTACGTTTATATTACAATAAACAACTTAAGTAGGCCTATTTTAAAACATGGCAGTTAAATAGTACTGAATAAATTGAGGAGTATTTTGTGTTACTCCAGAATAAAATACTAAAAGTAACCAATGTTAATACCATTAGAGATGAATAATATTGATAAAACACACAATAAAATAATATTAAATATATGTAAAATACTGGTATTCAATTTATAAATATAGGATAAGACTTGTTATTCATCAATGTAAAAATTAAACGATACAGGTTAAAATATAGGAAAATAGAGGATGGTAAAAATAGTCAAACAACTTCAAATATTTATGATTATAAATCGCATAAAATTATTATTTTTCACTCACTATCATTTTAGCCATGGGTGACGATATTATATTTGACAGAACATGTCATAAACTTTTTAACAAAAGGTAGAATTCATACAAAAATTATTAAATTATTCATATACTGTGGTTAATTTTACAAAGGAAACAAAATTGAAACAGTTATTCATTGGGAAAGGTGCATAGGGGACCATTTTATCCTAGCTCTATATAGTTACACGATAAAAGGTTTCTGAGTGTACTAGAGTATAACATCCAACTAACGCAACTAGCGTTATGGATTTGGCCAAAACTAAATGCACGGATCTACAAACCGTTTCTCTGCGTTTCAGCATCAAACCCTAAAGTAAAATTGGCCTAAAATTAATTATCAAATCCTAACTAACCGAGACCCTAAAATAACCGTGCAGAAAGGATAGGTTGAGCATGTTTTGTAAATTAGGCAACAGTCAAAGCGGTAAGGATCGCATCTACCAACAACAAAAAAATTTAGACACAACCGTAAAGTAGAATTGTGTTAGACGAAAAGCTATCGTGGCTAGAACTAGACTTAAAGCTTCACGCTTCCAGACTCAAAACTAACCTAACCCTAATGATCCCACAGACTTAAGAGAAAAAAACCTTGACATTTTAAACTTACGTATTAGTCAACATCGATATAGTACACGAGAAACTGTAGGCCTAAGGCTCGACTAGTTATGAGTTAATCATAGAGGTTAACAGTAGCCTAACATAAGAGAAGGTCACAAGTCATAGTCATTCCTTAACACAAGATTTACATTTACATTATTGTGTTATAGATTGATTAGTTAAGATATTTTGTGATCGTTTGTACGGCCTTTAATTTTATATTTTTATGCAAGGAAAAATATGTCTTTCTTTTAAACTGTCAAGAAGAAGGCACTGAATATTATCTCACATTGTTATACCTAACCTATTTGTTATCAATCACTACTCCGTAGCCCTTCCAGTCGCATTTGTGCTGTTTTAATGTGTGCAATTTATATTTTTGAAGAATAGATTTGCCGAGAATGACTATAACTTTTCTAATATCTATTTTACAATGAATATACAGTAAATATTCTCGTATGTTATATATATTTTTACAGCAAACCAAGCTAGGAATGTATATTATTCGATACTTTTCATACATTTTACTCGGGCTTGCATAAATAAAACGACTAATCTACATATTTTGTAAAATGGTGTGTTTTACTTATCACATGGTATAAGAAACATAAAGTATACGTGAACCCAAAACAATGTTGTGCTAGGGCAATAAATAAAGCTGTACTAAAAGTTAGAAGACGATAAAGAGAGATCAATCACTTTGGTACTATTGGTTATGAAACATTTCTAGTCTAAGTAGACAACACTCAGTATATAGCCAAACAAATAAACATTTTAATGTAAAATGACCAATAAAAACAAACAAAAACTAAGAAAACTAAACAATTAAAAACTTTGAAGTTTAAAACACAAATTTTAAATATGATTAACTTTACAGTTACAAGTTAAAGAATTTGATTCTACATAAAAATAAGAAACAGTGTTTACAAAACACAGAGTTTCAAAATAACAGTGATTGTAAGGAACTGGATAAAAATATGCACTTGCAGATTAATACATTTGGAAGCCTCCATTGCTTAAAGAGGGCGAAAACAATATCATACACTATACATACAGACTGACGCCTGCTAGTTTACAAGCATTATTAATAGAATACATATAAAAATATTATTTAAATAATAATTATACACCACATAACTAATTTATAATGTGAAAATAAGTTTATGTACAGTTATATAAACACTAAATTCACCTTTCAACAATCTAACGTATTGGATGCACTCAATAAATCACGGTATACAGACACTTAACGAAACCATTACAACTTAATCAATCTTACACGATTGAAAAAATGAACCATTATTGGAAAGTTACTAGTATCTCAGAAATGTATTATGATTATATCTTACAAGCCATTCACTTAAATAGTTTAATCAGTTTGATACAGGTAAAACTGTCAGTTACAAAGATGTATGTTAGCTATGTTCATCCGACGTCCATTTAAACTTTGGTCACATTACTTGATGCCGTTAGTGTTTCGTTAATGTAAGAGATTCTTTATTTTAATGTTAAAATAATGAATTTTTGTTCTGTTCAAAATGAAAACAGATATTGGTTAATTAGATTTATTTAATAAGTTACCTTTTCAAACAACTCCATGATTATTGTTTGTTAACTTTACATAATTACAAACCATCTATCATCTATGCTTGGGGCTTTTAAATTTTAAACAAAGACCAACTTAATTTTATACAAGTCTTTTACTGACCATCTAGAACTTCTTTGAAGCTCAGAACTTATATCTCGTCAGATTCACTTAAGACAACAGAAACACATTTACTCTACAAATCTACAACTTGTAAACATGCTTGTGTTTTGTAGTACTTGGTACAAAAGTTGTTTTAACAATTTTATACAAATAAACATCCAGATTTACAGACCAATTCAGTTTCTTTTTCAAGCGTTTTAAATTTGTAGAAAATACGGAATTTAAACGGATAACACAACTAACTAATCCGAGAAACGAGTTCCGCAGTTGTTAGCACACAAAAATTCATAACACATGATTTTAATATTTAAGCCCTCAGATAGAACTTCTTCAGAATTAAGTTAAAATTACCTTCTACCGGGAAATTCAATTTGGTATTTTCTTCTGAAGATGTCTCTTTGGAGTGGCAAAATAATGTAAAGCTATGTAATGTGCAGTGAACTTTGTGTATCTATCCACCTAGAACTCTCTTGGAAGTGTTTGTGGTATATTCATCCTTCATGTCTTCCCCTCCCTCAACTAGCAATAATTGTGTTACTGTTGCCTTAAACAAGATACATTGATTTTACCGAGCAAGCAAAACTTTGAGCCTATCCATACAAAAGATGTCTTTTGAAGAACAGTAAACCAAATCATGGAATGGTTTAGTGTGAAAAAGCATCGGTTACTATTGTCAGGAGACAACAAGCCACACAAAATGTGATGTTAGCCTACTTGAATCGGCTGGCGAAAGCGTTGGTGAGTTCGTTGACCGCGGCTTGTGTTGCCGCCTGCGCCACGGCCTGTTGCACCCGCTGGGGAATCTGAGGCATGGGTATGCCTGGGCCTCCGCGCCTGTACCACAACTGTGTTAGACAACTTGAACGAGCATGGAGCAAGGTATGTGTTGCAATCACGGAACCATTAGATTAAATAGCTAACAGTGTAGTTTGTTAGGTCAGAATAACCAGGGGAAGAAACTAATGTTTTTGAATAAAGTTCTTAAAACGTAAATTTGTAAATAGTTATATCAGATTAAATAGATTCAATATAATAAGGGAGTTATTTATCAAGTTTTTTATTGAGATACAATTAAGAATAATTATTTTAGAAGATTAGAGTAAAAATAAAAACTTAAAATGTAGGCCTATATTAGGTATATTACAAGTTATTTTGGAAAGAGTATTTTTGTTCAGCTAGCCTGGGAAAGTTAGAATCCAGAGTGGTGGACAAGAAAAATACACTTAATACTGGTACAGTAAAAAACCCTGGCATGCAATAATCCTGGAATCTGTCTAAAGATGTTTTTAAACTTAATAAGCATTCCTGTGTTTTTTATTCTTTAGCTAAATCAAATTAATTCAGGTATTCTACGAGAAATGCCCTGATTAACCTAAATGCCATGTAAATAGCCTTTTGTATAACTCTATTTTTGTGATGTTTTACTACCTTTAAAAAAAATTATTTTAGATAGCACTTAGTAACATGGTACTGCCAAAGTTACAAAAGTATTTTGTCCTAGAGAAGGACATTTTGACATAGTTCTAAAATAAATAATTTGAGCAAAATGTGACTCTTCAACCTTCTCTCTCTCTCTATAATGTAATGTATTTTCTTATCTGACTCTTAAAAAAACTACTTTGATAACATCAAATTCCACTTATAGTTATATCATAATAAAAGTCATAGAATAAAAAATCTTTAATGACCACTCAACAAACAGGGAACATTTAATTTGATTATCAGACCTAATGAACTACACTGCTAAGTATGAAGCAAATTCCATTGAAATTCACAGATTATAAGAGATAGCAAAACAATTTTGAAACAAATTCAAATAACATTTACAAGTTTACAGCCATACTCATTCAATTACAAAAATATCATTCCTTTTTTAATGTTACAGTCAAAATTCTAAAGGTAGACTGTTACACATTAAAAGCACACACTTAGTTTTAGTTCAAACACAGGTTATTTGAAAACAAGCGTATCTATATCAGTGTTTTGGATCAGCAAACAGTCTATAAGTATTTGCATATGGGAAAGACTAAACAAAACCATTAAGGCTTAAAGTTCTGTTCCGAAATAAATAAAAAATCAAGAAGATGAAATTCCCAGTCTGCCGGGAACTGGACTTGCAAGGTTTGAGTGATCTATTAGAGACAGCAATGATTCGGTCCACAAGAGCGTGTTTTTACGAGTGTCAGAACAATTATTGGGAGAGAGTCGCACATGTTTTAGTGAAAGCCATTAATGATGTTTTATGGTTTGGTGATCAAAAAAATTTTTTAACCCAAACTATATAACTAGCAAACTAAATCGGTTTCATAAACTTTCTGCTACAACTAAATGCTGATTTTGAAATAGGCAGTAAAACTTATTGCAACGGTAAAACTCAATAAAAAAATATAACGTAGAAAAGTATATGGAAAAAATATACTATTATTTGGGAATATTTAGTTTATTGTGCCAATTGCTTATCTCCTAAGCAAGTAGCACATAAAAATGTCAAATGTATAAATTAACACTTTCGTACAGGTATAGTTTCAATGGGGAGAAAAAAAACTATGGATCTTAAAAACCAGGATTAATCTTACTAATAGAGATTGCAAAATATATATAGATGGCATGACTCCAAGAATCTAACACTCTGTTTACGGACTTTACATAAACAACTGTGACCAATTAACAACTCTTCCTTACTTTGATTTACTAAACAAGGTATATTTCCAACTCCGATAACCAATTCAATATTTAAAACTCACGTGTTCAACATTACCCTACTGTAAACAAAATTCTAATACTTTCTTACGATTCAACAGATAAAGGAAATAAAAATAAAAAATTAACAGAATGAACAATTTATTTTTAACATATCTAGGGACATAACAGCTAACAATTAACTTTGTTATTTATATACATACTATCATTGCTTATGAGCAGTAATACAATGAATATTTACAAAACTATTCGGAAGCTTTACAACTAAAGTTATAACACGAGTACATGTTGAAACCAAACGGCACACGGTTAGTTGGTACATATATGTGTGTATAAGCGAGGGGAGAAGCACGCTAGAGGAGACGTCCTGACGGCCATGCTGTTTAGCGCCGCCTGTAACGACAAACCACCACCGCATGTAGCCACATCACACACACACACAAACACACACACAGGCAGGCACCTTCACATTGATAACATGTCAAACTTCTGGAATCGGGAACTTAGCTGAGTTATGAGGCTTTTAGTCTACAACACTGTTTAAACGAAAACAGACTTTAATTTGACTGATTATGTGGATCAGCCCAGGAACCATCGACGTGGGCAACTAAATATGTATGTGCTTGTGAACATCTGATGATTACCATAAAATTTTTTTAACCATGTGCTAACATTTCCGGAGCATTAAACAGCCACAGTTAAATTAAAGAAGAACAGATCAGTAGGATAACACAGGTAGGTTTATTTGTTAACTCAGTTTTTACATCCAACAGTGTTGATACACTTCCAATGTGAAGGTGCTTTGCACTCAAAAATACACTATTTACAGCTACTTCAACCCCCTTACCCTTCTACTAGTCAACCAGAAAGGACAGAGAAGAAATGTATCTTGTGGCAAATAAATACACTTATTTTGAAAAGAGTTCTGCTGTTAAAAAAATACAAGTAAAAAGAACCAAAACTCAATGTATAAAGTTTATTAAAAAATGAGATATAATTGAAATTGTTATACACTGAAGTTTTAATTCTAATAAAATATGTATTTATACATTATGTATTATCTTTAAATAAATTGGGCTTTAAAAACTTATCAATGAAAGTTCTTGTCCTGTTGCCAAACAAAAAATGTTCATTCGTCCTGTAAATAAAAAAAAAATAAATGAAAACCTATCAACAAGTTTTGAAGTTTTACTTGGATATTTTTTTGAATAACTAAAAAATGTGAAAAATACAAAAAAGGATGATTTTAGCAATCAAAATATTGTTAGCAATCTTTGGTTGTTTGGGTGTTACACCAATAAATGTATTTAGATATTTTTAAGAATTATTTGAAGCCCAATATGGAGAATTTTAAATAAAATATGATTTGCAATTCAATAAACAATAGGCCTATATTAAACAATTTTTTGCCCTAACTAAAAGGACTCAAAGGGGGAAAAACAATGTAAATGGCGATAGATTTCCTGATAAAATCCTTGACTTTCTGAAACAAAGATATAGTATTTTCATAACATTTTAGCCATCAAAAGTCATTAAAAATAGTATGATAAAAGTATTTTTCTGGGTACGAACAAAAATTAGAATCAATATAATGGAAAATATGTTAATGGTAACATAAGGTTAGTAGTTAATGACAAGAACAAAAATAATGTTAACACAATCCCATACTTCAACTACAGTAAATCCCCTGATAGCTTGGTTAGTTGTGTACTTACGATGGGATGAGTGGTGGGGGCAGACCCTGGCCCTGGGGACGACCTGGCGGTGCTGGGGGTTGTCCACCTCCAGGTCGTGAGGGGATGGCAGGCGCAGGGCGACCAGAAGCGGGGGGTACAGGAGGGGCTCTGCTGCCTCCCATGGGTGCTGCCTGTGGTATACCCCTCCTCGGGCCTCCAGGTGATGGTGGGGATAACCTATGACAACACCAACGTTCAGTTTTTGGAGAGAGTTCTTGGCTAAAGAATACGTTAAGGAAGTAAGAATGAATATTTAACTAACCCAAAAAAGAAATTCCAGGCAGTTGATTTGATACTTCACAAACATTTTTTCTTTTACAACACACTTAAATTTAATATTTTGCCAACACAAAGGGGTTTCATCAGAGGTTGTAAGGTGGCAGTTGCAGGAGTAAGATGGCACTGTTTGATAAATAATCTAAATCAATCTTGCCAATAGAAGAAGAATTTTGTAGGTAACTACCATTCTACTAATTTTTTCTGAAGAAGTCTCCTTAAGGCCAAGTCACACCGAGCTCGCTCCCGCGGCAGGAGCGAATTTTGAAAAATCGCTTACCATGTTATCAAATGTGCCAAGTCACACCGCACTACCGCGCGCCCGCAGGCGTGCGGTAGTGTCCGCCACGTCCGCCTGCTGAGCAATTTTCTGAGACTACCGCGGCGGGAGTTTTGTCTAGCGCATGCGCAAAGGGGCATTTCGAATGCCCAAGCTATTTAAAGTTTAAAAGTAATACAGTTTTAAATTAAATTTAACACGCTTCCTTTGGTTGATGATGTAGTCTATGTTATTTTGTATTATCTTCGTAATTATGTTTATCACCAGAAAAAATCATTTTTGTTTACCATGCAAAAATAATGTTTACGGTGAAAATGTAATGTTTCCCATAAACATTAACCATTTAACCATTTAAACATTAAACATTTCCATATTGCCAACATAAACATTTTTTTATTGTTTCATCAACTTTTTCGATTTGCAACAACCAAAACTTTACAATTAATGTAAACTTGAACTTTCAATAGAAGGTTTAGCAAAAAATTACATTAGTTTTAAAATGGACATATGTTTTATTTAAAAGTAAATAGTCTTTGTAGTGTAGCAAAAAATAACGTTCAAAAGCTGAAAGTGGATAATTTATCCACAACCATATTTAAAATGCTTCGAACACAAGGTCTTAATTAAATTTAAAAAAATAGCTATTCACATTTTAAAGTAGCCCTACACTAACAAATTAATAAACATTCAATTGCTTCTTAAACACTTTACTTAAAACCTGCAAATTTGCATGGCATACTAAACAGGTAAGATGTGTTTCTTATGTAAAACAAATTGTAATGAACTCATCTCAAAACTCCCGCAGCGGACGCAAACTTTTGGTGTGACATGGCTCGAGGAAAAACATCCGCGCGCGGTACTCCCGCGGCGGGAGCGGCGGATGTCGGTGTGACATGGCCTTTACAAGGAGATATGGAACTAATAGTGTGTGTGTTGTGTGTTGTAAACTTATTGTGTGCTGCCTGGAACTATTCTCTGGTAAGTTAGTAGTAGTTATCTCGGTAAGTTACCCGTTCCTTCTACCTTGATGAATGCCAATGTTCAGTGATCGTGTCTCAGTATACGATGCTAAACACTTGATATTGCCAAGAGCAAGAGACAATTGAACAGTCTTGCACACTTGCTGTGATTGCATTACTTAATTTTTAAATCTTAGTACATTAATTTATATAGAAATTTTGGTTTCAGGTAAACAAATGACTTACTCATATGATATAAACGATGCTTTAGTTCAAAACAAGTTGATATTTAGGTTTGGCTTGGGTGAAAGTTAGTGTTATAAGCACACTCTACTGGCTCAATTCAACAACATTAGTTTTTACCATGAAACCAGCTACACCTTTAACATAGATGTTAAGTACTGACCTCGGGTTGTCAAGACTGGAGCCCAGCCAGTCGTTTTTGACAGGGGGAGGTACAGGAGTGGTGACTGTCGCCATGGACACATCTCCTATGATTCGCAGCGCCTCCTTGCATGCGTGGTACATCCTCAACATCTCCTCTCTCTTCAGGGCCTCCTCTGGACTCTCCTCCATCATTGACGACTGTAAACATCATCCTGGATAAGGGTCTTGGTCCACAAAAATTGCACACAATACTGTTGGTGACTTATGTAACTCAGTAAAGGTATGTTTTGCTTAGAGCGACTGATGCAACCCCCAGGGAGCACTGCTGCAATAAGCTTTCCTTATGAAGTTTTTCTTTAGGCTACTATTGCCACAATTGCTACAATTGTTGGGTTTGAACTCAAGACCTGTGGGACAAGAGCAGGGCTTCGGTCTCCAAGGACCTTGATTCAAGTCCAATCACCAGCATTTTTTAGCTATGTGATATATTGTACAACAAACCTCTAGGCCTTGCTCTAAGAAAAGTTTAAAACGGTTCTGCCCTAGCCTAGGGTCTTAAAATGTGAAGGAACACAGAGAAATAATTTACAGAGGAAACTTGCTTATTGGACGACCATACGCCTACAGTTCTAGTATTTTGTGTGGTAAAAATAACATTTACCCAGCAATGAAGAGCCCGAGCGGCAAACACTGTGCGTAAATTCCACTCGCACAAGGCTCTAGATCTTCCTCTACTGTGAGCTTTGTATTACTTGAAGGGGAAGGGGACAGTGTTGGACTATGCACTAGACACCAATTAATTGTACCATTGAAAGTTTTCTCTGTACATAATTTCTCTGTAGAAGCAAAGTCATAAAAAAAACAGTACTTGATCCCCAGAAGCGTAGAGGTGCGCAAGCAGCTCTCCGTTGATGAAGTCCTTGCAGTTATTGATGATAATATACATGATGGTCTTGGGCACCAAGTCACGTGTCGTCTTGGTCACAATCTTCATATAAGAGTCGACCAGGTTCCGAATGGTCTCCACTTGTCTCTCCAGCATAGGGTCCATGGAGGAGGTGCCTTCCGTGCCCCCCTGGTAACAGTGCAAAGCCTCATAAGTGACAGGAAAGCCGAGAAGCTGAAAAGGAGGTTGCGGGAGGGGAGACTATCACTCTTGTAAATAAAAATACAGTGGAACATGTTTAGTTCAAACTTTATTGTTGAACTGCCATCTCCTCTCCTACTACCTCACCAATTAACTACGCTGGTTGGTTATTAACTGGTCGCCTCCCATCTTCTAACCTTGTTTTCTACAGAACCATCCATCAGTTTATTATTCACAGTGAACCTCAAATACTGTATGAGCACTGTTGTTTTTTTTGTTCAGTTTATAATTTTTGTTTAGACATGGTTTGCGCTTATAAAATCAAGCAAAGCAACGATTTTGTCATCAAAGCCAAATAAACCTTAAGCTTGTGACTATATCTGAAAAAATCGCAAATTTATTATAAACCCTTAACTTATAGTTTTAGCAATTTGGGAATGTCCCAGGACCCCAGGTTGGTTCTCCTCACACGCACGCACACTCACCCTCACGAGCAGAGAGGAGTAGGACCGACCCTAGACCGACCGTACTTTGACTTCTTTGGTTCTTTTAGATACCACTTGTAATCAAAATATAACTTTTTAAAGTTGTCATTTGAAATAGAAATGGTTAATACATTTGAATTTCCCTGAATATTACAATACAAACTATACCAAACAACCCATAATTTACTTAACTATCATTCCTTCACATAACATAACTGCAATATATTTCAGGTCGTAGTTCTTGGTTTTTGCTGTACTGTAGGTTTTATAAAGGCTGCATTTTTTTGTACAAATTTTCTCGTGTTTATGAGTAGAATTGATTACTACTAACTATTTGAAATTTAATATTTAAGTTAACATATTTTACATTTGATCAAGGAATTGTCACTTTTGACTAATTAACGGAGCAAGGGACAGAATGTGGCCGGTCCTAATCCCCTGTCCTTGTGTGAGTGAGGCCTGAGTGTGTGTGCATGAGCCTACCTGGCGTTCATGGACACTCCAGAATTGCTAAAGGTATAAATGTCTTTTCAGTTCAGTTTTATAATCAAAAGCAACCAAAGTTTTCAATGGTGTCTTTTGTGTTTGCATAATTCAAGTTCCCACTGTATTGGTAATAGCTTGTTATTTTAATAACACAATTATAGAATTATTATTGTTCAATGGTAAGAGCTAAGTCAGCACAATTGCAAGTATTAAAAGAACTGAAACGGCTGAAAGTAGTTTTTTTAGTTCTTTATCATAAAAGTTCTTAGGCCTACACTAAAGATGAATGCAACATAATACAGTTGCCATATTTTGACAGAGTGAAACTGAGACAGTCACCTTATGCCTGTTGTTGGATTAACATAAGACACAGAAGACAAAGCCTTTGCATAAAATCTTGTCATAATGACCTCAACATTAGATTTTTAGAGAAACTTTTTCTCGAATTTGGGACACTTTTCTGTCTTTGGAACTTTTACAGGACACAAGGATATTTGTAACAAAACTGCTTAAGGTCTAGAAAAACCAAATCACAAGGCAACTCTAAGCATGTAAAGTTGTGACATAGAGTTTGGTTGAATTTCAAACCAAATAAATAAGATATTATTTTTGGTATTCATCAGTTTCAGTTCCTCCTAAATCAAAATTACCACAGATCACCAATCTCCATGCCAGAAAACAGCTTGATTAGATAAACACAAATACACAAGAAAGAAATCAAACCTAACAACATCTAAACATGCTACCAAGCTTAAAAAGAAAAGGCGTAGATACGATTTGGTCAACATTCCAATAACAGATTTAAATTCTCTAATTCTACCAGGTGTTTGTGTTGTAGTGCTAAGATGTTGTAAGTTAGTGTTGGAATTTATTTTTATGTTTAGTAAAGGTTTAGAGTAGAGTATTTTTACGGACGAGAACTTTGTTTAAAGATCGGTTAACACGTGTAACCCGTACTCGTTTAGCAACTATGACAACATACAACTAAGGGTGCAAACTACAGGGAATACAAGTTTACAAACCTCATAACCCTCCAGGAGAGAATGGCAAAAGAGACAAACAAATCTATACATCTAGCATACAATTGTCACAACTTACAACCTACAAGTGACAGTGCTGTTTAGACAAAGAAATAGAGATAAGTTAGAGACTTGGCAACCAGAAGTCATAGGCTTTAGGTTATTTATAGAAAATGCTCCGCAATGTATCCGTTCTGTTTTGTATGAGATCAGAGTTTTTTGTTAACGTAATAAAACAGATGTGTTTTACAAGGAATAGTTAATTTTCTGCTTTCCATATAGCTTGGTAAACAAAACTAAATTTGAAGAATGAAATTTTCTTTTTGTAACCAAAATTGAAATTAAATGGTATAGCTAATGTTTATTTCAATGTTGATTTAAAACGAGGTAAATAAAAAATGCATCAATAACAAGGACAATTAGGTTTTTTAAATTTTGAAATGATAAATTTTTACTTTTTGTTATATGGTTGGAAAGAGGGAGCTAAAATATAAGTAAAGAAAATACTGATGCAACTGCGACTCTGAAGAAACGTTGAGAGTGTCATTGAATTTTTAAGGTGGAAGAAGAGCCGCTAAAGTTGGGGGGGGGGGGCAGTTTACGTATTGGTAGGTTAAGAGTGGCACGGTTAGTTTTGTTAGTGATGAGAGATTGGTAGGACTAGACCGAGAAAAGAAGTAGAGCTTCATATAAGCACCAAAAACACTTACTAAGGGATAGAAAAATGCCAATTAAGGCTAAAATTGGCTTATTAGACATATTACAGGCCAATAGTTACTTATGGGGCAGACAAAAGCTGGAGATATGAGGAATTAAAAATCTATTAAGAGTAAAATAGTAAGAAGATTGTACTAATTGTTTGGAAAGAGAGACTGAGAGGTTAAGGGGGAGTAATATGGTGGATGGTGGAGGGAGAGGAACTGTGGATGCCTGGGAATAGCTGGAACCCACCTAGGCCAACTTTAGATCTTGAATTTTTGTACAGGGCCGTCTTGGATTCTTTAGAACGTGTGAGAATCAAAATTTCTAAAGGAAACCTATCAATTTTTAGTTTTGGTTTACCGAACAACATCAAACATCGGAAAAAAAAAACAGTAAACAGCATAAAAAACTGAATTTAGGCAGTTTCTAATATATATCATTATTGAAAAATTGTGATTATGATTGTAGTTAAATAGATTTTATTATTTTATTCACCAATGATTATAAAGTTTTAAGGATTTGTTATTCATGATTTATAATTAGTGTTTGCTAGCAAAGGCAATCAACTTCATTCCATATTTTATCTTTTACAACCAGATTTTATAACCTACATTAAAGCAAAACAAATCTTTTAGCCGGTTTCTTTATTGAGCACAATACAACACAAACACGTTGAAGCTGAAATTTAAACTGTGTAATTTAAACTATTCGGGGGTGACAACACTTACTTTGCTGATCATCATACAAGTTTAATATAAAGCATGAATGTCGAACAATGTGTATGAAGATTGCCTGATGACAACCACTTGCACAACTCAGAGCGCCAAAGGGGCGTGGTTATAAGAAGCAAAAGCCTATTAAATATTTTTCAATTTGTTCATGATCACAAAAACATTTCCGAATATGTAAGCTGTTCATAACATTCTGAAAAAGTCTAAGAAATAGTGGTCTCATCATTCTACCTCTTCTATTACTTAATGTTCATTCTAGAAATATCAAGGAACTTTGGGACAAATTAGTTCCCGGATCCACATCATGGGAATATTCTTAGCACAAAACCTTACAAGACGAACGTGACCTCTATAAGACAAATTTATCATAATCTTAACCTCCATAGTACGTAGTTTTCAAAACAAACAGAAGCTTGTCTCAACATGAAACTCCCACCCATCCCTCCTCCTTCCTCAGTCATTGTTTGGAGAAACTTTGGAACGAGGAGAAACCTCTATAAGAAGAATAACAGCAGCATTAAACCTCAATAAAACGACTCTCTTTATTAAGAATACCTCTATAGTACAAATTTTTCCCGTACTCCTTGAAATTCGTCTCATAGAGGTTCAGTTGTACAAATTTTAGATTTATTTACGAGAAAATAATTATTCATCCTATTATATGTTGACTTTTTCTTTGACCTTCTTCATTAGATCAATTCATTCGACTTTTGTGTGACCTTCATTAAAACAAACCAATTTCAACAAACAATCAAACGCTTGCAAACTTTCATGAACAAATTGAAAAACAGTGAAAGCATAAAATGGATGGGCATGACAAACAAAGAAGAGATGAGATGGTATGCACACAACGGAAAATTTAACCTGAAACAGCGACAAGTCCCCGCACTTACCCTGGCCTAGAACATAATTAATGCAAAAGATGTAGCGATCCCAACAGTGACAGAAGAGACAACTCATATGGTGGTTTGGTGGTAACCATTCAAGCGAGCTTTAGTTAAAACCATGGGAAATACTAAACAATAAATTAAAAGTAGGGCTAGCAGTCTGTGTGTGACAAGTAATAGGTTAGGCTTACAATATGGAACATTGGGTCAAATTTAATTGGCCAATCACTAATATCAAACTTTTTACTGTTCCTTTAAGTGTGATTTTAATAATAAACTTGGACATTTTAGTGACAATAACTGTGTTGTTTTAACAATACAAACAATGTTAGAACGCTTATTGCTGGAATACTATTTTTTCCAACCGGATGAAAACTGATATTTTTGTTAAAAAAGTTTTCCAATTGCTTTTGTTGTATATAGTTTGGCTTAGGTTAGGTAACCATACTTCATAGTAAACAGGATAATATCAGTGAGTAGCTAATGGAATCTGACCAAACGTTTATAATACCATGAAATAGCTGCTAATAACATAAAACGATTAAACACAATACATCATACTGATATTGTTTTACATTATAAAAAAGAGACGTAAATAAAGATATCTTGAGGAGATACAATTGTTGTACAGATTAATATTAGATGTAAAAAAATCACATAAAATTACTAGAACAGAGAATAAAAAGAATGTAACTTGGATGAAAAACAGATTAAAACGTTTATCTCACAAATTCCGTTACTAAAGGTGTTCATAATATGCTCAATTGAATAACAAAAACTATTAACATTGATGTGATAGAGTTAAAATTAATAAGTTTAGAAAATATCTACCACTGAAAGTTGTTGATTAAAAACCCTTGAATGTTGGTGCGCCTATGAGTTTAATTTGAAGCATTACCTCTTCCCCGTTTGACGTGTCAGTGGTTTTCTCCGGGTAGACTCCAGCCCTCAAAAAGGAAGCTTTCCAAGAGTCAACCTCATCCTGAGTCTCACAACTCAACTCCAATTGCTTGTAGTCCTGTAACAAATATGCATACATTAACATTGAGTTGCCACTTGGAATCTGCACACTTTGGTTGAAGCAATGAAAGTTGTTGTAAATTATATAAGGTTATCATCTTGACTTTCAAACAGACCCTCGACTGATGCTACACACACAAACAAACTGTGCTGCAATTAGTATCAATACAAAATAGTAATTCAAGAAGATTGAAAAACTCAATGTAAACCTACTTTTTAAGATAGTGAATATGGTGCTATATGAAGTGTTACACTCCATAACTGGTGGAGAGTATTGTACTCCATACACAAAATTTAGGTGGTGTTGGGGAAGAAATCTGTCTCCTCCTTTTCATCCTACCTTTTAAAACAATAGCTCAACAGCTGAGGTTTGCCAAAACCTCAATCAGCTGCAAAATATACATTAATGAAAAAAAAAGTAGTGTGGGAACTTCCCCTCAAACAGCCTACATTTTACGAACGGCCTATAAGTTTTGTGCATTGTGATGAAAAATGAAGTTCATAAGAGTTGTTCAAACTGCTTTACTGACCATATCTGGCAGCAGTAAAGACTTATCTAGCACACTCTGTATGCCGGTTTACTGAGCACTGTCTAAATATAGCTTTTAATGAAAGCAGAAATACCACCAAAAGCCAAGATAGGGCTGTACAAAGTACAATTGCATTTCCCCATGTTCTAAGTGTGTTTCTCATAAATTCTGAGCAAACTAGCCCTCATTGCTGATTGCCCATGAACTCTGCCAACACTACAGGAAGACTTGTTCAGGTTAATAAACTTACAAAAACATTCCAATGAAACAACGACTAGGAAATGAAAGATTACAATCATACCTTGTATACATTTCGACCTTCAGGGTTGAAAAGTGCAAATGTGTGCCGTCGGGACATGAATCCCTGTTCAACGTCACGCAACTTCAGTCCATCCAACGGAAGCATGTACTTCTTCTCTCTTTCCTGCAAGTAATTTACTCCATTATTTTTGTAAGTCTACAATGGTTTGCAGAGCAATTGTTTGTTTGAGTCCAAGTTTTTACCAAGGCAAATTTGGCCAATGGGTAGAAAAAGACAAAAGATAACAACATAAAACTGCCGCCGTAGGGGAAAAATCAATTTTGGTACTCTTTGTACCAAAATTAATAAATTTCATTCATTAAATAATGAACTTCTCTTGAATTGAAAATTTGTTATGTGTTTGGCACTCACAAACAATGGACAAACGCATTAGATTTAGCTTTACGAAGGTGAGATCTTTTGTTTATTTTAAGATTAATTTTTAGACAGCTTAAGTACATTGTGACATTTCACAACTTTGATTATCTTTGGTGGCTGGATAACAAAAGCCATACAGCAAAAAAAAAAAAAAAAAAAAAAAAAAAAAACATTGAGAAGAGTAGGACACCATTTTTTTATCTTTACAAATATTACCAACACTTAAGAGTCTTAGAGTAAGTATGGTGTTTGGATTCAAATCTGATGTCATTGTTAATTGATGGTTGATGAAGGTCAACGTTAGACAAGACCAGGGTGGACAGGTCCCTTAAAAAAACGTTTCAAAAAATGCCAAATGGTATAGATAAAACACAGAAACGCAAACAAAACTAATCAAAAGAAGTTCTATCCCAAATCACCTCTTCGTCTTTGAACCAAGAGATGTTCTCGGAGGTGAGAACGAACCAGTAGTCCCGAGAGCCTCCCTTCATGATCCCAAGGTTGTGGATGCACATCCACCCCTTGCGGATCACTTGGTTGCCGAGCTTGCGGCCGGCCTTGGCGGTGTTGTCCGTCTGGTTCTGAGCACTGAAACAAACAACCGTGTCACCACGCACGCTAAACAAGTCTACATTAGGACGAAGCTTAGTGAGTGAGCGAGGAGAGGAGGAACAAAACACAAAAATAGTAAATTAAACTTACTATGTAAAAAAATTAAAGACTATTCAATCAAATTAATTTGTGGAAAATGTGTGTAATCTTTAATCGTCTAATCAGGTGTGTTACTCGACTTGAACAACCTAACTGTAGTCTGGTGAAAATGATGTAGCAACACATAAAATGAAATTAATGCATTTCATTTGAAATCATAATCTAGCAATCCTCATAACCTCAACACAATTGGAAAGAAACTGTTTTGAAATGTGCAAGTCACATAATGCCTGATACCATCAAACTAGCTTCATAATGTTTAAACCCAATTTTAGAAAAGTGTAACAATGTCCAAAACAATTAGGAAGTCTAATTCTGTTCAACAGTACAGCCTGTAAAACAAAAATAAATTAAATAATCTCAAAGAAAACTGCGTATTATTGTCCAAAACAAGCATTTAAGGAAATTCCCTTAACATATTATACCGTAGACATTCAACATGTATTATTTAGTGACTCGTGAATAATGGATATGAAGTTTAGTTAAATCATTATTCAAAGGCAGAATTCTACGGTTAAGAAATGTTTACTCTGGACTTGTCTTGAAATCGTATCTTTGCACAATGCACATCTAGTAAATATTTTAGCTACGCTTGTCCTTTGAAAATATTGCAATTTTATAAAACTGATGATTGGGTTTTCTACTATGAATTTGACTCTTTGGGGTATTTTTTAATTTGTGTTATTTGGTATATAGTTGGAAACAAAAGACGTGGACATTTTGAGAGTCCTTAATTCAGTTTTGGCCAGAAAAAATAGACCAATTGACACCAGCTTGATTTGCAAAACAATTTCCAACAACAAAGTTATTAGACATTATGTGACTTAAACATTATGAAATTGACTCATAATGTGGCGGAAATAGCTTCATTCGCATGGTTTCAAATACTTAACAGAATCAATTTCAAAGAAATGTAATTATCAACAAAACAGGGTCTTAATAGATTGTTTAAGGCAGTAAAATAACTAATATCTATTTTAATCATGACAGAAGCCCATACATCAATATTATGGTTGAAATTTATTAAACACTACATGACTGCGTGTTCAGTTCAACTATAAGCATACTAAGGTATTTCAAACTAACCAAATAAGTATAACAATTCTTATCTGTGAATACATTAAATTTTGCAATTCAAATAAGTGAGGATTGTTAACATATCACTTTAAAGAGTAAAAACAACAAACCTTTCCACAGGTTTTTACTTATTAAACAACTTTCACTATCTGATAAAATATATTAGTATAGTATGTACAAAGAGATATCAAATATTGAAAGAAAATAGAAACAGAGAACAAATAAAAAAACTGTAATGAAGCCATACAATTGATGCTGTTTTTAACATGCATTTATTCACCCTCAAGGTTTTCTATTGGCAATTATTTTAACCCGGATATTTGTTTGAAAGTTGCACTCAATTAAAATAAAAACTTTACATAACATTTTGCTGTAATGTAAAATTACGTATTTAGTTGCGTAAAAGGAAGGAATAAACTATATAAATAGAGTTGGTCACTAAAATAACTCTAAGATAACAGTTTATTATTGCATAGGGGTGTCCAAAGGGTGGGACAGTGGCGCACTTGCACCAAAGGATTTTTTTGCCATTGATGATTTAAAGTTCTAATAAGTGGTTTTGTTATGATTAATACATTCTATCAACACTTATTGTTATTATATATTTTTTATTCATAATTGTTAACATTTGTTCATTGTCTTCGCAATCACAACGGACGCTCTTAATTCTGTAGCAATCATGAGAAGCGATGATGATAGATATTGCTATGATCACAAGAGACAGTGATGATGTCTTCATGACCGGGATTAATTTTGAGATATTACCGCAACCACGGGAGGTGATGATGATAGAGATATTGCCACAATCAGGGAGGCGGTGATGATAGAGATATTGCCGCGATCAGGGAGGCGGTGATGATAGAGATATTGCCGCGATCACTAGAAGCGGTGATTATGTCTTCACGACCAAGGGATCGTTAAGATATTGCCACAAACACAGGAGACGGTGATGTCTTAACAGTAATGGAAGTGAGAGATGTTGCCAATTTTGTCTCAATCACAGGAGATGATGAACTTTTGACACGATAGCGGGAGATGATCTAAATAGGGCCTTGATCAGGAATTATTGTCATGACAACATTATGATGCTGGTGATTGACCGCAATCTCAGAGAAGACACACAGAGAAATATAATTCTATTTTCTCTGTCCCTAAGCGGCTACCAGGTCTTGCGTTTCTCTGTGGAATATTTCATCATTATTGGTTTGGGTGGAGAGACCCTTCCCAATTAATTTTCTTTAATAAGCATATAATTTTGTTAACTCCAAAATTACCAAACATTGTGAATACTTCATGGCCCCAATAATTTTGTGTAGGAACATTTTGCATGACAGCTGTATTTTTTGTTACTTAAGTAATTTTTTTAAATATTGGTTTCTGTGTGGGAAGGGGGCAAAGTTAGAAGGGTGTGAAGAGGCAGTATGAAATGGGGGGGGGGGCACTTCTGAAATTGCATATATAATGGGTACAATTTGATAAGAAGACATCATAACTTTCATCCTAAAGGACTAATAACTTTCTTGAGAGTCAATTTTTGTGCCCTAAAGCCTGAGTGTTTATTAATCTACACTACACCTGTTTATTTAATACAGACAGTAAATAATTTGACCCTGAATAAGTATACATTTTAACATCATGCACAGTTAATTTTATTAAATGTCCAACAATTATTTAACGACCCACACTTATATTTTCATGATGAATGGACAATGTTTAATGCTAATATAAAACAGTTCAAAAGACAACTATACCTATTATCCCAGTATAACATTACAAGAAGAATTAACAGTAAGATTGAGTTACTAAGACATCAAGAGGACAACACTACCCCATAGACTCGAGACTAGGAGAAAGAAACAGAGGGAAGTACCGTACTCATCTAAGACACCAACCAGATAAATCACTAACTTGTGCATCTACTTCGATTTTTTTCCAATCCTCCTTTAAAAAAAAAGTATGAATACCATTCATATTTAATACTTATGAAGATAATAATAACACTTAAACAATGAACATCTTGTAGATTTGATTGTTTATATTTTATTTGAGTTAAATGTCTGTGTAAATTGCCATATTAGCTTGTAGAACTACTAAATCGATTAGTTTAAAATTGAGAACCTATCATTTTGCCATCAAATTCCAACACCTAGGATTTAGAATCACAACATTCCTATGCAACTGAAATGACCGGCTTGTTAAATAAAATGAAAAATGTAAACAAAAAGAACGTTAAAAGGATAAAATGGCTGGAATGTGTGTACGTACCTTAGGTCCGTTACTTAAGGAGCTGTAATAGACAAGTACAGTGTACGTTTGATAAAGGAGTGGCGAGTGGCACAAAACACGGAGGAATTAAGCATTCAATAATCATTAGTACGTTAGTGCAACTCCTGGCTTACCTATTTTGGCCGAAAGGATCAGCGACCCTGCAAACAGATGTATGGTTAATTTACAGTCCGCTTCGGCCGACGTGTGCCACTATTGGTCGCCATATTTGGGGAAATCAATCAAAAGCTGCTTCGGTTGGTTAGACCAAAGCCTATCGGATTGAGAAATACAATTTACAAGCATGGCAAATCTCTCCAATTCAGCTCCCTGACCTTGGTAAACAATGTTAGTTTGGGGAATGAGAAACAAAATATGAAGAAGAAACCAACAAAAGAACATAAAAACATCCAAAGGTAGGCAAAACAGAAAATTGAAAAATAAAAATTGAGATGAATTGTGTAGAAATTTGATATAGAGATAAAATGAAAATGCAGGGGCAGAAATTAAACAGAAAAACTTCCAACAAAAAAAAAGAAAATATCCAGTTAACGAGGAGGTGCTATTGAAATAGTTTAGTAGTATTGAGACTGCAATTGTAAAGCAGTCCTTGCTTGTTTTATAGGGTATTTATTTACTCCTATGTAAAAGAACAATAATTGTTCATTCTTTGCTTGGTTCCAATGAAACCTCCAATGAAAATTTCATTGATCTAAATTAATGAAAAAAGTTTAACATCATCAAACTTTCATTAATTCTTGGGTAGGCCTACATTGAATCATTCAAAACACAAAAATAACAAATTGTCACATTTTATATAAACAATTTTTTCTCAGGCATTGGTTGTTATTAAGACATTAATATATAAAGCAATGTATTTACCCAAGAATTAGTGATAGTTTCAATATGTATTACCAATTTCTTAAACCAATACATAAAATTGGACAAGAAATACTATTGATCAAAGCAATCAGATAAGTAAATACCAATCTTTAAATATAATTTGAGATTTAAATAGCTTTATATTCAGTTGTCAAACAACTGGCCTAAATCAACTGCTGTAGGGTTTGTGTATTTCATTATTAAATACCTTTTTTCACAAATTCAATTTTCAAATACAGAAAACTTCAAACAAACCATATCCAGCAAAGTCTAAAACCTCCAGGAGTTGACAATGATATTTATTATTTTTTAATGTTAAAAATTAAACTGTTAAAAAGTCTTTGGGACATACATACAACAAGAGTTTAAAAAATACACTCCCGTTATTGAAATTGTAAAATATAAAATTATAAAAATAACATCAGATATGTGACAAAATGTCTAACAATAGATTTTGTAAATGGAAAAGCTGCATCCCATACTTCAACCCAATTTTAGGTTTATTGTATAAATTAGCAAGAAATAACCCTAGGCTATAGAAGACAGGAAAAACGCAAAAGCTCACTATATTGTGTTTAAAAATAGAAGTATTCTATCTATTGTTGTTTAGTCTCAAACACAATCAATGTTCATTAAGTACTATCATGAGGACAATGAATTCTTGAGGACCTAAAATCAGATTGTTAGAAAATGACAATATCGTTAAAAGAAAATACCCCCGCCGCAGCAAACCTGCAGACTAAGCGAATTTCCATTTGCCTGATTGGATTTAGACTAAAATGTCTCCTTAAAAATATCACATTTATTCCCTATTTAAATAGAATCAGTTTAACACATACTTAGGTTTGCTGCAACAGGGAGGGTAAAATTTTTTTTTATGTAGGCCTAAAATGTTAATAGTTGGTAAGAAATAAAAACATTTTCCAAATTTGGGCAAAATATGTTAATAAACAAGCACACTACAACGGTTTACTTATTCTCCATAAGAATAACATGGGAATTTTAAATTAACAATTTTTTGGAATTTTCTCCGTAACCATTAGGCGCATTATAACGCTTCAATATACTAAATTATTTGTTTTTTTAAGCTCTACAAAATAGTTTGGAAAGAAATTTCAAAATTTTATGTTTTTTGGGTCAAAAATAGGGAAAACCCATTTTTACCCCATAAAAGCCCCCATAAACCCCTGTTCCCATGGTCCGATCATGCTGGTTCGCGAACTCGTTCGAACAAACGTAGGTTTACACGTTTGTACCAAATTTCATCAAAATCGGATCATTTTTGCTCGAGTTATCGCGCTAACGGACACATATATATATAAATATATATATATATATGAATTTGAACGGATGGTGTTTTTGGCCTCTAGGGACCTCAAAACGAAAAAAAAAATCGGTTCCGGGTCCAGGTCTTACCATGAGTACTACGGTAATAGCTTATTCCCTATATGGGAAATTCGCTAAAAGTATACGATTAAATAAAATATTTGTGTTCTTTGTTTTTTTAAAACCTTAATTTAAAAGTTATTAAAAAGATTAAATATTATTTAGCATCTAACTGCACTTATAAACTTTGAAATGCCCTTATGAGGTTTAAGAATCTACACCGATTTACATGATGTTTTATCTCATCTGTACATAATGTATAAATGATGTCTACTTTGAATGTACCTGTAGGCTACAAATACTATGTAAGTAGGGTTTAGTCTTTAAGTTTATAATCCTTCTTCTCTTCTTTTACACATTTATAAGTCAAAGGCGGATCTGAGGAAGGACCAAAATTCAAAATACAGAACATATCTTACATATTGGGCAAGAATGACCAATCTATACATTACAAATTTAAACTGTAAATAGAGTAAAACTCTCAGAGTCCTTAAACTTTAGAACAAATTACACTTCTCAATGATATACACCAGATTGTATTTACATACCAACTCGAGCTTCTGTGTGAATGAAAAAAATTGTGCCTTTTAGAGAACCTTACGATTGTTGAATTACTGTAACAAACCAAAACAAATTCTGTACAGAAATATATGTCTGGAATTTTGGTAACATTCTTGAACAGTTGAGAGGCATGCTCAAGCACCCTTTCCCAAACTTGCTCTGTGAATGATACCCGTGCAGTGATCGGCTAAAGATCCTATATCTCTTAGCATTGTGTGATGCATAACAATAGAGGAAAATACTTTAAGTTTATGATTAAAAGCTTTCAAATAGAATTTTTTTAGCGGCAACAGGCGTTGAACTTTGTAACAATAGCTTTACCGGTGCAACAAGGTTGTACAGTTAGTCATTTGAAACTACTTTACGCTGGAAAAATATTAATATTTTACAAAATGTCTGTTCATTATTTGCGTCAAATGTCGAAGGTATAAAATAGGTAGAATTAGAGAAATCATGAGAAAAAAATGTACCTAACAAGTGTGGTTTTCTCCTTTTTTCAAAGATACCAATATTTAATTTACTAAGATCCACCAAAAGCTCCGAAGGCAAAGTTATAGACTGATTTCGGTACAGTTTAAGATTACAACCTGGTTGGTGACGGTTTTTATGTGAATAATGGTGTGGATTAAAAACCAAATCAATCTACTTTCATACAGAGTGGGCCCCCAGAAAGACTGCAAAGTTTCACTGGTCAAAATGAGTTTAGTGTCAAACTTTTTGTTTTGTTTTGAAGCTTTTGTCACAAAGTTCAAGCATCAAATTGATTCAGCCCTGGTCTACTTTAGATTTATGACAAGGGGAAAACAAAACTAACATGCTAGGTTTGTTTGGGATGAAGATTTTTTAGGAACAAGCATGGGTGCTTCTATACTGTTGATGTGACAGATTTAGATTTTATGTGGTTTGTGTGCATATTGTTACTAAAGGTTAGCCCAATTATTTTAACTTTACTAGATTTTATAAAAACAAATTTAATTTAATTTATTTAGCCTAGGTGAATTATTTATTTTTATGTCTGTGATAGAAAAACAGCTCTTGCCAGCCCTTTGTGCTTCTTTAATTGAGGTATTTCTCATTTAATTTGAAAAACAAAACATTAGTGGAAATAGCAGAAGTGACAAAAAAGCCAAGACGAGACTGATTGCATTTTAGTGATTTGCAGTAAAACCCTAACTAACTATGTCTGGATAAGCTGTGTTTGATCATGTCATGGGAAATGTGGATCATATAAAATTATTTCATAAAGAAGAAAACTATCCTTAGACTAATCCTGCTACCTCTGGCTGTTTTTGTTTTATGTTTATATACAAATAGGTATAACTAAAAGTTAAGTGTAAGTTTCATTCTTAAGGTTGGCGTTTAAGTAGAGATGTGCGAGCAGCTCTATTTTAAAGCTGAGCCAGGCCTTCAAGCTGGAGAAATAAAACGGAAAGTCAGCAAATTTAGCTCGAGCCAAGCTTATTGCGGTCCCAGAATGCATCTGTGCAAAATTCACTATTTTGCTGTGACTACAAGAGTTTTTCTGATTGCATGAGACAATGATTTTTTTCATGACTGCAGGATCTGTCCAGGATTTGATTGGGAAAGTGAAGTCATGTTTCTGTGGGAGATATTGAATATTTTTATCTGCAATTGCAGGAGACTTGTGATTTCTACATAGCCGTGGAAGATGTTCAGGTATTTGCCTGCAATTGGGAAAGAGGATGATGATGATGTTTCCGTGAACGCTGGGATAAATAATAGTATGTTTCAGCAAACACAGGAGACAGTTATTATATCCAAACTACCACAGGAAATTATGTATGACGATATTACCTTGATTACATCATGACATTGTAATAATGCACATTACAATAAATTGATCATTAGGCCTACTAAATTTAATATTAACTGTCTGAATACATTACAACATTAGATAGCATATTGCAAATATTTCTGACGAATGAATACATATTATACGACATTACGTCAAATGTCGGCAAACTTGTATTATAAAAATGCTTGGTTCGAAAAAAGTTTGAGGCTTGCGTTTTTCCAAAGGCTTGACTAGGGCTTGGCTTGAAAAATTGTAGGGTTGCACTCCTCTACCCTATCAAAAATGTTTAAGGCTCATAATTAATTGTTTCAAATATTTTTTTAGATAAGAGTAATACAAGTGTTTTGTGAAATTCATGCATGTATAACCTTAGTTGTGAATTTAAACACTTGCTTGTCAATGAATGGTGTGGTTAAAAATATATTGTGTCATTGTGTAAAAAGAAAAAGCATACCAGATTTTTTATTTTATGTTTAAAAAAAACTCTAAGTGAAATAAATGTTACAGGCACCACAGATGCACACAATAAAATGATCAAATGTAAATAAGACATAATTAAAACTTATAAATAAAAAAGTAATAAGATAGCTGTAATTAGACTATAAAAAAATAATCATTGTTAATTAAGAAAAAAGAGGAAATTAGTTATTGAAATTTAAGTTTACATATTTTGTCTTCATTGAATATTCAATGGAAATTATTTTGTATACTGATGTATGATAACAGTAGTGAAGTTAAGTTATAATATTTTAAAAGTTAACATGTATACTAAATACGTAGTGGCATACACATAATTTGAAGACAATTCTTATTCTCTTTAAGACGTACCTAAGTCACAACAACCTTTTTTTATAGCCACTACATTTTTTTTACTGAATTTTGAAAAAAATATTTTGAAAACAGTTTCTTCAAGTTCTGAAAAGAATGTTCTTCATTCAACACTAACTCTTATTCTTCAAAATGGAGCACCAAAACTCAAACTGAAATACAACTATAATAACTATTAATAATGCAAAAAAAAAATCTATAGGAGCTGTTGGTAAATAAATAGTGATGTGTTGTTTTGAAAGTACTCTTTCTACGGAGTGTTATTTTCAAACTATAAGGGCACAGCCCAAGTAGGTTAGGCAATAAAAGGCAAAAATCTACACCCAACCTAGTATTTAAAACTAAAAAATTAAAAACAAAACCATGCATAAAAAACTAAGGAAGGGAACATTAAACTACAGAAAAACTCAAGGAATTTATAGATTTGCATTTTCCAGTGTAATTTTCTGGACGATGCCAAAGATTTTGTATCCAATTTGATAGCATTTTTTACGTAGAGCATCACTGTGTAGAATTTGCATGGTATTTTCCAGAGCTTTTATCGAAGACACAAATGTTTTCTGCACAGTTTTGTATTGGTTTGCCACAACCTGTGTGGAAGTGTAAAGTTACTGACTTGGCAAAACCGATGAAGTCCTCGTGGTTGGTGTTCATATACGCCAGCTCACAGTCCACCAACATGGCCAGCTGCTCTTTGCACATCTGCTCTCGCTGACGAATGTACGTTGTGATGATCCTCTCCGCCTCCTCACGCAAACGTGGATATCGATTCATCTACACACACAGAAGATACGTGAGAAGCGGTAAAGATAACCTCAGTCACAAATCTTGAATTGATATTTTGAACACCAGAGATTCATTCATTGGTTTAGTTCTGACTTCTTCTACCATGATTTTCATCAAGTCCTTATAAAACAAGGAGAGGTAAAGTGAGAACTTAGCATCTCAAAGTAAGTAATATCGACTAGAACAAAAAAAAATCTTAATTTCTAACACCACAAATGTGATACGGTATTATTATTATAAAATAAAATGATAAACTTATCAAAATTTTTTATTGAGAATATAATAACTCAAAACAATAAAGATTGACAGGAACAAACCAACGCCTAGGACTCAACTTCTGAATCACAGGTAAAAAATTGTCTGAGAAGCAAAATATAAAACTGTTCATAGTGAGGCAGGCACAAAACTTTTCAGATTTACGTTTTTTCAATTTCTCCTGAAGTCAAATATTTAAGGCCCCTACTTTAAAAAGTTGTAGTAGTTTTAAATAAGTAAACTGTATACTTACTTTTTCTGTACATATCCGAACAACGTTTGACAATTCTAAAACCACTAGATCTACACATTTTAAGCAGGGTTCTTTGAGCCTATTGATCTGCTTTTTGACTATTGCTTCAAAAGCCATGTCCGGAGTGAAAAGACCGACTCTGATACCTAAAAAAGACAGATTAATTGTAATAACACCAAGAGATTTTGAAAACTTGAGGTGAATGCAAAACCCTCTTATACACAGCTGTCTAGTTGAGTGCTTTTTACCTTTGTCCATATCGCAATAAATGTTGGTGGTTTTAATAGTCATCACAGCCAATAAAGCTACGCAATACACAAATGCAATAACATGAACTTTGCTATCACAACACGTTGTCTATGATTAAAAGATGCGAGCACTTTTTATTCAACTATGTAATCTCCTGATTTGTGTTTTCCTCTTGATCGGTTATTCAACTTTAATATTGGTAAAGAAAGTTTTAGCTTCCTCCCCACACTCCCAGCAAAGGTTCTTGCTGTAAATGTATCTAAGAAGGATTAAATAGAAGCATAATCAGCGGTTATGTGTCAAAAATGAAGTTTCTGGACTGACAAACTAGAAATAGTAGGTAATACTTGGTAACTAAGGATTATAATGGGGATTTTTACAGCTTTTTACAATTCAAATTTACTTACAAGTGCATGATTAATATTGGTGCTGAGGATTAATATCTGTAAACAATCACCAAAATATCTACTAGTTTAACTCACCGTGAATATTTCTAATGGCAAAAGCTATTTCTCGTCGCAGCTCCTTCTCGTCAAATTCCATTTTCACCAGTTCAAACGGGAATCGTTCGTGGAACAACCGATTGATCTTGGCCCCCCCGGACAGTTCCATAGTGTTGATTTGTGCTGACCCTGATCCTTCTATGGTTCTCTCAAAGTCTGACTGCAGCTGTTGAATCATCCTGTCAACATTCAGTTCAATTTTAGCAGATCTTTGTTAAAGCGGCACCTAACGAATTCGAGATTCGATGAATCTACTGGATTCGAGAATCAAATGTAAAATTTAATATTTAGTTACACTTGCTATTTGCCAGTCAACCACAATCTGGGGGTTAGTCAAATCTGAATTTTTTAATCCTCGATCTGAGATTTATTTTTATTTTAATTTGTTTGTGGCCTTTAAGAAAATTATTGGGACAGAAATCAATGTTACTGAAATTGGGGGAAATGATCATTATGTCGCCATGATTTTGAGATGGTTGTTGAATAAGAATAAGAATCCTTTATTGTCATTAGACACAGTTGTGCAATAGACATTGTCAAAGAAAACTATAAAATAAAAAATGTAACAGAGTCATGAACATTAACACAGTAGGGTAGACAGTAGGGTTGTCACAATCACAGGAGATAATAATAAGATAATTGCAATTTTGGGGTAAACACTTTAGAAAATCCATTATATGTTTTATATTGAATCAAAATAAAGTAAATAAGGATGAGAATAATATTTCAGAGAAGATGTCTTTTAAGAAGATTGACTTAAATTTTACTTAAAAAAATGAAAATTTAAGGACTTGTTTAGGCTGCACAGTTGCTGAATTTTGAAACAAAATTATAATAAAAATAAATATCTACTTTCGAATAACAACCAAAACTGATTCAATTACATGATTCACAATTAATTAGATTCAGAATAAAGCAATTCATCACTAAAATAGTATTCAAACAAAACCACATTTTCTAAGGCTTTATATCTCTTTATGCAACAAAATGTCCAATAGAAGTTTTTAATTAAAAACAAATACAAGCAAACTTAAGAAACACTGTTAGGAAAACCAAATTATTTTAAAAGAAACAGCTTTCTTGGGTTGTTAAGCAGTTAAATTTTTACTGGACTAGTTTGATCTTTTTCAAAGAAAAATTTTGAATGTCATGTTTTTTAGTTCATGCACAAAAATAAAATTCCCAAACGTCATTACAGTGGACTAATAAATTATATTGGCATTTTAATTTTAAAATGATGACTACCAGTTGAATGGTATATGAATCTATGATTTTAAATTAAATTGAATCAATTAGGCCTACTATTTCTGTAATCCCATGGGAAAATAAGTGATTTCTGTGACTTTATTACAATTAGACAACCTGGATTAAAACAATTGGCCAAACTTGAAAATTTGAACCTAGCTGGTTACGGGACAATGTTAGTTTTCTCTGCTCAACATTGGACATACCAAAACAAGTTCAGATGCTTCTCTATACCCATTTTCTGCACTCTGTATCAATAAATGAAGCAGAATGTAAACGTATAGTAAATTAATCTACCATCCTATGAAATATAACAATAGCTATGTTTGAATTAACAACAAAAAAATTAATTAGCCTAACCTAAACATAATGGTCCACAAAAAACTGGAATGACATTTTTAATTTCTTTGTGTAGAAGGGTCTTTAAACCTTGCATTAGCCTGTCCACATGGGCCTTAAAGGCCAGTGCATGGAATGTATCAAGTAAAGCATTACGCTAACTGATTGAGCCACTGATTCATTGAATTAAGATTTTAAAATTGTCATAATTAAAACCTACTGAGGTTTAAGTGGCCACATAGGTAAGTTATAATTAACAATCATACACTGTCCAGTTACAATGAAAATACAGTGTTTTGCTAAAATTAAAAAATTAAATAATTAGTCTAAAATGAATAACAATAATAGAAAACAAGTTGTGTAGAAATTGCTCACACATGCAATTGCATCCGTAAATCCCCACGGGGGCATGGATGAAATTAAAGAAATAACATGTTGTTTTTAAATAAAAAGCTATTTCTAATTCTTCCAGTTTTGTAAAAGACAGTTAGGTAATACGGAAGTATTTATTTAGTTAAAGTACTTACTGTAGCATTGCCTTGGTTTTGATAGAAGGATCGTCTGGCCTAAAATGTTTAAACTGGTCTACATCTTTCTCCAGGGCCAGATATTGTTTCTGGAAAAATATATCCATTTGTTACTAAACAGAAAACACTAACTGAGCAACTTAAAAATACTAAGAAATGAACTTTTTTAGTAAATTACAACGGCATCCTCAGTGGCTAGGCTGCATATCTGAGGATCCACGAAGTTCGATAGGTAAGATAAAGACTAAGAAGTGACGTTGTTATCGGTGTGTGTGAATACCTCCAACGCCGCAAAGTATTAAAAATCTCCTTCAACAACCATTAAAAATCCACAAAGTCTAAAATTGATAATTATTTATAAAAAAATCAGTAAAACAATAAAAAAAACTTATATTGGTTTCACAAACAAAGGATTAAATGTAGGCCTACTTAATGTAGTAATTTATTATTTAAGTTCGTCACATTTGTATACCTGCAGCTTGTCCCTGAGACCAGGCAGTGTGTCTCGGATGTGGTTGGTCAGCTGTTGGTTGAGGACCCTCTGTAAGTACGGAGTTCCCAATCTGTCAGCCATGTGTCTGTATGAAGGGTGGCTGCAAAACAGAAACTTGCATAAAAATAACACATGTAACAAAAAGGAGTCTACTGGGATTGTTTAACATCTTGGTTTGCCGTGCAATTAATAATACAGTAGACTCCCTCTTATCCGGACACCTTTTGACCGGACTACACTTGACGGAAATGACATCTCTTTAACCGGACAATTTGTATCAGCACATTGTTTTAACCGGACTAGATCGGCAGGAAGTGGGCAGTACTGAAATGACTGTTCTCGTGGGAAAGATTTGAGACCAGTGATCACGTGTCTAAATACAATATGCTATCCTAAATTTAAGTCGAATATCACAGTTTACAGTTGGTTTAACCGGAAATCCCGTCATCCGGACTGGCCTCGGTCCCGAGGAGTCCGGATAAGAGGGAGTCTACTGTACATAAATATTATGAGTCTAGAATTAAAGAATTATTTGTTGTGGAGGTCAGTCCACAATAATTTAAATGTCCCGCCACGTTCATGTGAGCTCAAGCCATGATACACAACCTAAGACATTATGGTTGCGCATGCGCACCGACGAGAGTAGGGGAGCAAGACGGAAACACCGGTTGTCGTGTCTCTGCTGTGGAAGAAGGAAGATGGCTTGCTGAATACGTGGGATATGGGGGCCCCTTGGAGGTACCGTGTTACACAATAGTTATTCTTAATTCCATTAATAATTATTTTCAGATTATGTTGTCAAAATCACTTATTTCATTTATTCCATCAGCTCTTCATTTCATTATTTGCTCAAATGTTAGTTCACGTTGTGTCCAGTTCATTGATTAATAATTATTGCATATATCCAAAGATTAGGGTGTTTCACTAGTTAAAATGCTTCAATTAATAATAATCATCAAAGCTGGCTCTTTGGGCCTGTGAGTTGCGGTAAATTGTCTCCTCTGTTTAGATAATGAGTTCAGTTGTTTCCAACACAAACGGTTTGGCCATGTTCGTAAATCATATGACCAAATCACGAAATGAGGCCAAAATACGCCACAAGTGGTAGTAGAGCTAAAGCGTTCGATGCAATTTTGCACATTGTGGAAATTAATCACAATAAAGTCAGGAAATACTTACTGCAAACATTACGCAAAAATCTAAACACAAATAAATGTCATGGCCATGCCATTTAATTACACAGTCTTTGTCACACCATCACTACTTAGTAAGTCAGACATGTCCATTTCCCATGCTCTCAGCCTAAAGCCTAGCAGGCTTATTCAACGTCAAACAAAGAAATAAAACTCCTTAGACCAATGCCTTAACCTCGAAACAATTTAAATTCTTAAATACCTTAGGAAAAACTTGCGCTCTGCTGCGAGAGCCGCTTTGATGTCCTTGCGTCCATCGATGTCCTTCTGACTGCGGTTGACCACGCCCACATAGCCACGCCGCAGCGGCAACAGTTTGTTCTCCAGGATATCTCGAGCGTCCGTTCCTTCGTCCATCAGATCCAGCTTGGTAATGACTCCTATCGTCCTTAATCCTGCCACAACACATCTTGTGTACGGAACAGTTCGGAAAAATATGCAACATTCCCTTAACACTTTTGATGTTCAAATTTGCTTTTTTAAAGTTAGATTTTGTTGTATCTTGGTCATTTTTTATGAGATTTCAGTTATTACTGTATACAATACGTTTCAAGCAACACTGTTATTTGGTTTGATATTAATGTTAAAAATAACAAACCAATATTGGGTAACTAAATACTATCAACTCTTGCTAAGTTCGCAAATCAATATAGGCCTATCCCAAACAAAGCTTCATAATTAAAATTAAATTAATTTTTCAGAAAGATACTAGAACAAAAACAAGAGAATTCAGTTACATTCAAAAATTAACATTAAAATGAGAACTAGAAATCTTATAAGGCAACAACAACAAAAAAAAATAAAAAACAAAAAATTAATTAATCCAACATTATTGGAAGTATTGGAAAGAATTTAGCTATAAAATCAGTGTAAGAGTAAAATTGAGTTGATAATGAATCCAAACAACAATTACTGTTTCAAAAAATTAATACTACAATATCATATTTACAAGCAATTAGCTAATTAAAACAACATACAACTATTCATGCAGTGCAAACTACATTTTAAGGATTCAAGTGCCCTGGATGTTGGACTTACGAGCCGTAACACAGCTGTAGCAGATAAACAGATCAAAATATTGTGAAACATTTGAAAAATGATTTAGGATAAATTTCACAATACCCAAGCCCAAACAGACCAGCTTTCTGAGAGAATCTTCCATAAATCCTTGGTTAGAAATAAAAACTGTATGTTGAAATTACCATTAAGGCAAGTTATAGATTCCTCACCAAATCACGATATGTCTAATGATTTTTATCTGTAACCCTACGTTTAAAAAATGTGATAGGTCTTACAAAATCACATATGGTGAACTTCAAGAATTATCAATATTAAAAGTGAAATAATTAGAGCTGTGGAAATTCAAATTTAGGGATCTAAAAAAGTCATTTAAAAAATTAATTTTACATAAATTGAGACTATGATATTTAATGCCAATTGCTATGGGACTTTTTTGCAAATTATTCCACGGGATGATAAAAAAAACCTTAAACTTTTTAAAATACTTGTGGAATATTTATTTGAAGCGTTTCAAATTTTCCTCAGAAAAATGGTTAAGATTTTTGATAGATCACAACTCTACAAAACGACTTCGGTTACAGAATAAGAATAGAATTAAAAATATATATAACGTGGTGTCAACCAGATTGATTAACTTCTCCTGTTTTCCTTACCTCCAAAATTTTTAAGGATTTTTGTCCGTATAGCAGGCTTACCTAAATGGAAAATTGTACCCAACAGCCACAACAAAATTTTTTAAAAAAACTACACTATGCACAAAAATAAGATTATTTCACTATCATTGGCAGCATTTTCGGTACTTTCGTATTATATGGTGGCCACTTATTTTATAGCGCGCTGCAGCGGTTATGTAAGGTTTGGTTATCATAGATAAGTTTGTAGGACTTTCCTCGTTTCGTTATGAATCGAACGATGCCAGATGAGTCATAAAAATGTACGATAACGCAACCTAACATAACCGCCGCAGCGCTCTGTATAAGGGTGGCCTATAATACAAAAGTACTGCATTTTCAACTTATACAAATTTGAGTTTGAAAAACAATAGAGATAATGGCAACTACTATTGAAACATATTTAATACCATTAAACTTGGAGAAGAAATTAAATCTTCCATAGTTAAAATTACTGTCAGTGACAGTAAAATATTCTTTTATATATAGTGGCAAGTTTTGTTTATCTATGTCGCATTTAGGTCAGCCTGCTAGAGAATATCTTTAAAACCTTGGGCTCTAGTTAACACCCTTAACCCTAGAAAAGTGAAAACTGGAATTTAGAAACTTTTGTCAATTAGTCACACAACTTTTACCACCCGCCACCAAACCAAAATGTAGGCTAACCTGGGCCGTCGACGTCTTTGGCCAGTTTGAGGGCGTCGCTGTTGGCCAGGTCAGTATTGGCCGGAGTTACAGCCAGGATCAGACAGTTTGCTCGAGTTACAAACTGCATAATCATGCTACGTATTTGTTGCTCAATGTCTGGCGGCTGGTCGCCTATAGGGACTTTGGTCATACCAGGGAGATCTACTAGGGTCAGATTCAGTACTGCAACACAACAGGAGAGTGGCTAAACACTACTTTACACAGCCATGAGGTGGAAAGTCACGTGCTGGCTTCAAGCAGAATAAGAATTAAACAAAATTCGGGTAAACTAAAATATGTAATGATTTTTTTTTATATTACAAGTAAATTGTAATATAGTCATTAAAATGGTTGTTTTTGTGATGTTTGCAGTTTAAAAACTTATAGCAGCCATTTTCCATTGTTGATTATTGATTAGTATAAGAGATGTTTCACAAGGGATCTGGAACCTGTCTCCTACTTCAGATGGGAAGGGATGTAGAACCATTGACATTTAAATACTAGAGTTGACACCCCATCTTTAAAAATAGCTGTATTCAATTCTGTATTTTAAAAGTGAATTGTAGAAGAGCAACGCATAGTTTTCTCTCTTAGTTTCTGGTATATTAATTTATATCAAAAAGGAAGCCAAGGTAAAGTTTTCAGTAAGTTATCCTGTCATCTTGACTTGGTTGAAACGTTTGTGTGTATGAAATCACAAGTCCTAATCAAGTAATTGGCAACAGGTGTTTGTCGTTTAATTCAGCTACATTTATTTTCATTCTATAACGGGCTAGAACTTTTACATGGGAATGGGATGCCTACTAAACTCCAGAGCTAAAGCTAGAAAGTAAGATTAATATACAAACTGGGTAGAGTTGGGAAACAAAAACTCCATTTTGTGAACTAATTCTGTTATGATTTGTGTTCTCCCATCTTTTACAGTGCCAGATTCCAGATTGCCACATTGTGAAACTCCTATATTTCTCCAAGGTTATAGAAAATGTCTGCAATGATACTAACAATAAACTTCCAACGCTCAAAATGCTTGCAGCAGACCTGACTTTCCACAAAAAAACAAAACAAAAATATCAACAGAAATATAAAGAGGCACAACGATCGAGCAGGCGGCGACGAAGACGCTAGTCTGTTGTGTTTTACCATCAGGGTCGACCTGCTTGGATATCTGCAGGGCGTCGGAGGTGGCAAGATCTGTGTTGGCAGGCGTTACAGCCAGAATGAGACAAGTCTCTTTGGTGATGAACTGGAACAGCATTTCCTTGATCTGCTGCTCAATGTCCACAGGCTGGTCGCCCACGGGCACCTTGGTGAGGCCGGGCAAGTCGATCATTGTGATGTTCAGCACTGCCACACCACATCAACAATGCAACACTCTCCACTGTTACAACTTCATTCCTAGGCTTTTGTTGTACATATAATTAGAATCCAGGGTTTTCAACATCAACTGCTAGTCTGTTGGAGATTGCTGTCAAAAAGTTTCACCCTTACTTTGAATAGGCATCCTCAGAAGGTAAGTTGAGACTGACAACACTCCAACCGGTAATGCGACTGACGGCAAAAACCACTATGGATTCTACTACTTGTTGATTTAAATGGAGTTATCTGACAAGCAAACCTATGAAAAACTACGGTATACTCCCTTTGGTGAGGCTTAGGTTTGTTTGGCACGTGTCAAATAGATGTCTTCTCACGACAAGAATCAACTTGATCCTTCTCATAGTAATTTAAACGTAAATAAGAAAGACTTTCCTCAGCTCATGTTGAGTCCATTAATACTTACAAATCATGGCGGTTTTATATTGTTGATATGAGATTGTTATTTCCTGCAATGAATGTTTTAAATTTATTCTACGCATCAAGTGACATTTGTTATGTTTTGTGTTTGATAAAATCAATTTGTGGATGGCTACATAAGCAGTTGTTATAAGTTTTTTTAATCAGCATGTACTGAATTTGTATTCCTAACACAAGTCATGGACCCGTAACTTTAGCTCACCATTGGGCGAGTAAACCCGCAGGTTGATTGGGATATTGGAGATGCCCTTATTGGAGCCTGTCACACGATCCGTCTCCGCCTCGATCTCCTTCCGCACATCATCAAAGTCTGTGAACTTCTTGCCCTTGCAGTGCAGGAATTCTGCATATTCTGCAAAAAAAGCGAGCACCCGGTGATTAACAATTACAACAACTTATACTAACTTAACCTATATTGAATACTCTAGTAAGCCCTGCAAACACCATTCATTTAACCATTACCATATTTTAATATATATTTTGATTCTGTTGACTTATTACAAGTTAGGTTGGTTTACTAGTTGCTAAAACTTCCTTTTGAAAAAAACGTGGCTTACTCTGGACTGCACAGTGAACATAGGATGGAGTGTATTTGGTGATTAATATTATGGTTTTGGCGGTTAAATTAACAACATTTGAACAAAAGGCTGAATCCCTATCTTTCATAGACAATAGCCTAGTGCTCTAGTACTACAGAAAGCAGTACACAATACCAATGGTATTTTTTGACACATTTGTACTGCAAAGGCCTAACTCGTATTTTAATATAGCCTAATAATATTTTGTAATTTTCTCTAAGAGTCACAACTCCACTGTTGTTCCATCAAATTGAGCCACCGGTACACTAAAAGTTTAACCACAACATACAGTCTTACCTATACTGCTGTTGATCAGCTGAAGAATAAGAGGTCTTCGGGTAACAATACCGGAACCTCGAGGCAGAAAGTCTCTGTAAGAAAATAAAAATGTTGTAAATACAAAAACATCAACAATTTAAGTTAGTTGCGCAGTAGACTATAGGTGAATTGAAAATATGGGCAAAAAGTATTGATACAAAAATGTTAAGAGAAAATAAGTAGGTAGGTAACTTAAAAACAAATAAATTGACTTTATTCCCAAATTTAACATTAGGCCTACTACTTTATTCCCATCCTAAACATGCCTCGAGCACTTAATACAACTTTACTGTATACTGATTCATGATTTTCTTACAACCTACACCAGACCTAGCTTTTAAAGCGACAGTGAGCAATTCTCTCTTGCAAAGGCCCCTCTATAGTGTGCAAGAGTTGGTAGAGGAACCTCTCATGCCGGGATGAAATTTCGGCCACAGCCTTAGTAGGCCTATTTATGTGTTGTAAATATATGTTTTATTGTATAGTATTATAAGATTTGACACTATCTATCCGTAACCACGGTCAAAGATAAAGAAGACAAGTGTCCAAGTAAGTACTTTCTTTATTTGCATGAGTCAAAACACACTTCTTTATCTTCAAGATTATGTTAATCATCAGTAAATAATAACTTGCTAGTTTTTGTGTTGTTTAAACGTTGAATCTTTGTAAATTACAAGTGAATTGTTTGCTCTTTTCATACTGTTACTCATACAAGTTAGTCTCATACAAACCACCACTCAATTGTGCATGAATTTGTAAATTTTGATTTAGGCCTACAAAAATTAAACTTTTTTTTGCTGCATACGACAAAACAGGTGACATTTCTGTGCTCAGCGTGCAAAGTGCAGGAAGAAATAGCCGCAACATAGGCTATAAAATTGTGAGAAGTAAGTAGCGAGCTATACTGCATTTTGCACTAACCCATCAACATCCTTGTCACTCTCTAGGTAAACCGACAAAGTAATTATTTACCTAGAGATTTTTTCTCTGATGCTTAACTAAAGTTCTAAAACATTCAGCTTCAATCATAAATTGATTGGCAGCAATCAAGTCAAATTTACATACAACCGGAGGTGACTGTACATTTGAGATATTCCATTGATGATGTGAGACTGCATTGACTCACTCACTAAGTGAGATCACCGAAGATAATAAACTTCAGATCTTACTTGACCGGTTGAAAGTGATCATAGACAACTACAGGAACTTAATTAATTGTTACCGCTTATTTTTATTTAATAATATATGTACGTACAACGACAAATAGTTTGAAATCTTTTTCAAAATGTACCATATCAAATAATCATGATCATGAAATCATCCAGACACTTTACTTGGATTATATTGAATAACTTAACTTAGGCCTACTTAAGATAGTATAATTTATATAAGCCCATGATGAAGGACAGTTAGATGTAGTTTCTAACCATTGTTAAACTAACTTAGTGCAAGGAGGCCATAAAAAGTAATATTATATTGAAGATTCAAATCTAAGTAAGCCTACTGGACGATGTCTACCCAGTTCAATTTCCTTAGTTAAAATCTGTTAACTTTTGCCTTTAGAAATCTTTGTAATCTTACTCTAAGTTATGTGTACGGCACTGTACCGGTACAGTAGTTTTTCTACAAAACAGAAAATTTCATGATTTGCAGAAACTTCTACATTATCAATGAGGCTTATAAGCGCAGTTTTATTTGGTCATAGACCTAATAGGTAGATATTTTTTACAATAAAGTACCATATATCGCTTTCTTCTCCCCCAACAATGTTGATAATGTTGAAATTAACAGTTTTAAAATACCTATAAAAATCGTTATGCTTAAGCTTAGCCTACATCTGTAGGCCTAATGTAAAACATCTAAGACCAAACCCAAAGATGAAATTTACTTAATAATTAATGCAATGGAAAATTACCAATATAAATTTAGTAAATTTCAATTAAGCTAGCCTAGTTGTAAGTTAACATTCTCAAGCACTCATTGGATTTTGTTAGTAGGCCTAGTTTATATCAGTTTGTTCCTTGCATATAGCCCAGCCTTTCATTTGTCTAGGGCACTTGATACAAACCTACAATTATATAAATGATGAATTCAAAAAATATTTAAATGCCTACAAACTTAACCTCATTTGTAAGTTAATAAAACCTCAAATGTTTAAAGGTGGTTAACCTACTCTGCACTAAGTTAATGGCATTGAATCCATCCAGAGCTCATAGAAGTTTATTTGGTAAAAAAAAAATTGTAAGTTAGGCGCACACAGTAGTAGTGGTGTAACAGAAAAGAGGGATACCGTACCGGTACCATTTATTTTGCACTAAGAATTGTGTTATCAGGGACTTGCGAAAGCCAAGTTGCCTGTCGAGTCTATACAAAAATTGAAAATTGACAGCGATCGAATATGCTTTTAAAATGAAACCGACTAAAACCAAATGCCTACAATGCAGTTCTTTGAAGGAAGCACATTAGGTAAGTTACATTCAAAGTCTGATTGCCTAATGCAAACTAGGCCTAAGTTATAAGGTCTAAAAAAAATCTTAAGTGCAGAGTTACCTTGTGCTATGCACTAAGTAGGCTGGACCTACCTAAATTACCTGTTTGCAATACGCTACCTTTGCATACGTACACAAGTTGCAAAGGCAGATCTCTGATACAGAACTCTATCGGTTAAATAGATTGTTATCCAATAAGTTACTGGTGCCTAATTAAGTTACCTAGATAGCGTAACAACATACGATTGGGTTACAACTTACCGATAGGCCTAAATGATTGTAAGTTAGGCTAGGCAATTTAATTTTTTTTTAATTGTACAGCTTGTTGATTTTTAAAACACATGTTAGGCTACCGTATAAGTTGTTGTTTCCAAGGCCTAACTTAAACTTACTGCCTTATTATTTGTTGAAGTTATTGGTAACTAAGTTAAAGGCTGTTTCCATTCAATTACTTATTTTATGTGGTCGTGTTGGATTGGAAATACCAACCTAACATAGGCTAACCAACCAAACTTACCATTTCAAAATTCCGTTTCAAACCGAAAAAATCATGTGAGGTATAACTTATCAAACGGAATTTTAAAATGTTACACAGCAAGTTTAACTTAGTTAGGTAGTTAATTAGGTTGGTTTAGAACAGTATTATCTTATTTCGGGGTACAGTTTCTTAACTGCGCTAACTTATGCTAAGCTTACTTAACTTAATAGCCTACCGATTGAAACTATTATCAAATTGAAAATATTGTTTAACAATCGAATGATATTTTTACTATATCAATTATAAAATTAAACTGTCATAACCTAACCTAACTAACTTAACCAAACTTCTTGATACGTTAGTGAAAAAATCTACACAGAGGATACGCGTCCGGTAACCAGGCGTGGATTAGGCGTCCGGTAGTGACGTCACCGGGTTGTGGGGTCCCGGAATGCCATTACCACAACGATACGATGTTCGGCCAGCGTTATTCGTGGTGTAGTGGATAGAGTGCTCGGCTGATATCCAAGAGGTCCCTGGTTCGAAACCCATCGGTTTCTTTAAGTTTTTGTCACAGATTTTTCTTTGAATGTAATTTCTTCTTAACTGTACGTATCTTTTGTTAGAATTTTTGGCATTTATAATTTAACCCTCCGAGTGTCCCTAGTTTTGGCCTTTATGTCTGCCTATTTTTTGCGCATTTGCAAGGTTTTATTAAAACGGATCTGAGAAGCTTAAAGACAATGTTACCGGTAATTATACTGTTCTATCTACCATTTTGTTTGGAAAATCATGGGCTTCAATATTATACATAAAACATAAGGAACATTTGTTTCAAAAAAATTTTAGGTAAAAAAAAATATTTTGGAAAATTTTCAAAAAAAAAAATAAGTTCACGCTCAATGAAATTGTATAAATTATAGGCCTATAAATATTTGAAAATAGCCACTTTGTTCTAAATTTTATGATGATTCCAAAAATATAATAATGTACCTAATATAAGGAAGTAGATTTGCAAATAAATAAGTTATGGGCAAAAAACAGATTTCGGTACATAGAGTTTAGCTAAGAATGCATAGCCTAACCATAGCTAGGAATCTGGCTGATAGTTTACATCAATATCACTACCTACTTCTTCAGGATCATCAACCAGCCCTTCAAAATCACTTAAATCTTCTTATAATGCACCACGTATATCACTACCTACTTTTGATTTTTAACACTAAAACAATGATACATTAAACATAATAAAACACATCAGTCATCGGTGCGAGGTTAACCAAGCTGTTTACAAATACGCACGTCATCTGTCTGCTACAATTATGATCGGCTCGAGAAAAAAAAGGGCTTAGAGACAGACCTAGGGAGAAAGCTTAGAATGTGCCAAATAAAACGATACCGTACCTAACTCGATCCAGTTCAATCCGATTTTGTCAGTCATAGAGCATTGGCCGTAAACAGTGTTTGTGAGTTGAAGCTTCGACACAAAACACTACACAAAGTGTGTTATGTGTCGAAGCTCCGACAAATAACACTCGGAGGGTTAATGTTATGAAGAGAATTGAACCTTCATTTGATTCTTTTCAGTTTGGTTGTTTAGGTTAGGTTATGACAGTAACTGCCGAACATCTAATCCACGTCCTGTTACCGGACGCGTAACTTATCCTCTGCGAAAAATCTACTGAAGGTTTACTAATCGAATCGACAATCGGTATTAGCATAGCCCAGTTAAGAAACTGTACCCAACAACACCACCATTCAGGGGACATTGTCTCAAAGTTGTGACTACTTCGATAAAATGGTATGGCTGGCTGGCTACACTGCCCAAAAGTGTTCAGGTAGGCCTATATTGGACTAGGCTAGTAACTTAGCCTAAACCTACTTTTGATTAGAGGCATAAGTTAGGCCTACCTTGTAGACTGGCTAATAAAAGATAGCCTAGCAATATCACCGTAATTAGGAATTAGCATCGAATTAAGTGACCCACTAAAGTTAAATATGCCAAGGCATAGGCTACCTGTCAGTCAATGTAACAATCAATAATGCTTAATAACAAGTTGTTGACCCGATGCGCCCACTTCTAGGACGAGATTCCGCGTGATCATAATAAAATGTCAAGTTTATTGACCATTTTGCGTAACCAAACTAGAATAAGGGGTAACTATGGTAAAACCTGTGAGTAAACATCTTAGGCCTAGCCTACCTGCCAACGAAATTTTCCAACACGGAACTCTTGCCAGCACTTTGCCCACCCACTACTGCGATTTGAGGAAGATCCAATTGCATATGCACTCCGAGCTGGGTGAATGCATCCTGAAGTTTATTGACGATGGGGATAAGCTGTTCCATCCCCACGTTACCCGCCATCGTGAAAAATTACTTGCACAACTTGACCCCCACAACAGAAGATTTTCACTTCGGGGAGGAAAACTAATATGGCCGACGACAGCCCACAATGCAGCGCGCTCTCTGACTATCGAACTCCAAACAGTCGAGGATCAATGAAACAGCTGCTACTGCCGCGCCGTGCGCTGCGCTGCCTCAAAGCAAAACTTCAGCTCCATGAGAAAGAGGCATGGATGCGCTAATTATAATCTACAATAAATAAAATAAAATTACAAAATATGCATAAAACTTAATTATAAGTGTTGCATCATGTATGTAAACCCCGATGCCTATAAATTAATATTGAAAACTTATTCCATCACAAATTGCGAATTAATCTAGTTAAAATTTTAGAAAATATAGTGGCTCATTCCGATCTACTCGCTGTGTGTCAGACAACAAATAAGTCATCATTCGGGGAATTCGGTGTGATCTCAGCACAATTTCGTGCCATCTCCTAGTGGCATAGTTAATAAAGCATACAAAGAAAATATTGATTTATAAAATCGTTTTCTCTTTAGATTACCTAAATTGATCCAGCTAGTAAAATAATAAAACAAACCTTAAATGGAAAACTAAATCCGGCTTAAATTCTTTATTGTTAAAGATAAAACTCTCAAATTAAAAAGACGTGATAAAAATGTACCTGTGTTTTTTACACCTTTTCCACATTTATTTTGGAAGTTTTTAATTGTATTTGAGAATCATATTTCTTGTATTTGAGAAGATATTAAATGTAAATTAGATAAGTCAGTTAAATTTGATAAAACAAAAAATGTAGTTGAGAATAGTCAATTGTATTTGAGAAAGTATTATACAGTATAGAATCGAGAAATCGTTAATTTAATTTCAGAATGTGAGTTTTTAATTTGAGAATTTGATAAAAATCAGTTGAATATTTATTTTTCCTTATCAAATTACGCGATTCATCCTGCCTCCACTCATCTCCATATTCATACTTGGCTTTAAATACCTACTTTATGGTCGCCATTTCATTGAAATGTATTAAAGTATTAAATCACAAGTTCTCAAGTATGTACATTTAACTATTTCTTAAATTGAATTCACGGCTCTTAAATTCATCTGATGCCTTCTCAAATAAACTGACTGTTCTCAATTTTATTTGATATTTCTAAAAAAAAATAATTGACTAACATGTTCTGAAATAAACACAACTGTATATCTCTCAAATAAAATTGGAAATGGTGTAGAAAACAGTTACAGTAATTTAAAAGTAAATAAATGTAGTATATTTCATCCCTATAGGGCCTAAAGTGACTATTTTTTACCCGAGGTCAAGTTTTACGATCGAGGCGAAGCCGAGGTCGGAAATGGAGCGAGGGTTACAAAGACACTTTTTGCCCGTGTGGTAAACTATATTTTTCGTCATATTGCATCATAAATTAACAAATTAAGCTAGAAAACGAAATAGTTTTTATGTACAGGTAACCTCTCAAAACAACTTCTAGCTTGTTTTTAATTCTGCTAATGCAACTAAGCAGCTGTTTATTAGGTTATTCAATCATTTCGTCTATTACGATTGTGTTACAGTTTATACCATCGATATGTCGAGCGATCGACAATAGGCTAAACATACATAATAAACCAATCGAAAAATAATTTCAATCGATACGATTGCCACAATTGAAATTAACAACGGTTTACAACAGCTGATTTTTACTCCCTATGCTACTCTAGAGCCGCAACCGCAACGCATGCATTAAAAACTGCTGTTTTTGATGCAGTATGACGAAAATTAACTCACGTGCATTAAAAAATTATATACGGGGGACATGAGTCATGAGTCATTCTACAGGCAGTAAGGACTCAGGTGAGTCACTGCATTATTTCCATGTAAGTCCTTACACAGGACAACTGCAACAGTTTTCACATTTGATGAATGAATGCGGGACAAGTCAAATAAATCCGATGATCTATCAAAACATTCGTTAAGACAAATTTTGTTGTAGATATTGTAGAGATTACTGTACTAGTACACGTTAAGCGTTTTAAGTTATTGAATTTTGATATCGTACCAATGGTTGTTACTTTTAAACATGCATAAGTTGCAGCTTTTCATTAATTCTTTTCTAAAATTGGGTGAGCATATGGTTACTATAGTTAGTTTCCTTTGGAGTGGTTTCCGCGTCGCTCGGACAAGGTTACTCTGGTATCAGTCATTGATAAGCTGTGGCAATGACCTCGGCGCCGTCGTAGCCTGTTACCAGCAATTGGTTATGACTCATCTATCGCTTATTTACATTTGCTGTTTACTTTTATCGATCAAATAACGCTAATTTAAAACTATTACTAATGTTTTTCCCCCACAGTGGTCTGAACTGGGTAGCTAAGTGGTCATTACGATCTGAATGATGGACCATGGACCCTTCGTCTACCTCCTATCTGGGGACTAACTAATGTTTAAAGAAGAGTCAGGAGACAGGATCCATCTTACATATTATAGTGCTCGCATGAAAATCAAAAAGGTCGCCTGTTCGATTTTGGGAAAAGGTAGTAGCTTTTTGATGCTTCGAAAGTGGTGCAACAAAAAAAGGAAAAAAACAGGCGTCGAAAGTTTGGCTCGATTTTAAATGTTGGCGTAATCGACCGAAATCAATAATTTCATCAGCGTATTCTGTCGTTGCTCATTCTAAAATGAACTAAAAGTTTAAAATGGGAATGTACCATGTACTGTATAGTTTTATCCAAAGTCGAAGGTGTTGTACAGAAATGTTGTTACAATACTCACGTATTTAATCGCCGGTGACGTCATCATTGGCCTATCCAAGGCTGACCAGTCGTGTGTCTGTGATTATTGTCAGGAAAAATGTACTCCCACAGTCTTGCGAATAGTGTTCATGCTCATTGTTGAAAAATACGATCTAAATGGCAGTGATGTAATACTTCACAGGCACTTGTGTGTGATGTATTCGTATTCGGTAATTACAAAGTAAATAATAATAAATTGTATTTCTACTCACTCATACTTTTGTCAAATACAAGTATGTTCTTGACGGTGAGGCACAAAGTAGCACAGCAATTACGCTATGTATTGCTAAACGAACTAAGGGTATAACACATAACGCTATAATATTTTTTGTATACATTTGAAAGAATCTAGGTTTTGACTGCTGATTCCCGTTCTATTTTTTCAGCTAACCGTCGAAATTAATTCTTTTGCAGTAACTACGACAATGTTATACCCTGCGGGTGCCTACGGGGAATACTGTACTTTAAAACCTTGCTATTTAAACAAACATGGTTTTATTTATTTTTTAGATCAAATTTCCCCAGTTTTGCAACGGGATTTGAATCTAGAATAAAGAACAATGATTTTAAATGTGTTGCAAGAACGGCTTACTATTGATCAAAGTATTTGACATAAACAATTAAACAATCATAAAAAAAATAATTTGCTATAACTGGACCATATAGGCCTATAGATAGAATGTATAATTCAGTATCCATGGGTCTGTTTAGCCCTCGAGCCAAGAAAAATCAGAGCTACGCGACATTGTCGTTTCATTGTCTGTTTTCACTGTATTCGTGGGAGTGTTTTAATTTATAGTATGACAACTTTGCTATTTAATAACATTTAACAGTGCAGCTGCGAAGTTACCTTGTAGCTAGGAAATACCCATTTTTTCCCAGTGATCATTTCCAAACCCGTACATCATCAACCATGCAATTTTTGAAAATTGTCCTTTTTTAGTAGGGTAATCTTGAGATAATCTTTGCCTTGTTCCTGGTCTGAAAAGCATTCAGGCCTCTCTTCCCGGACGTTAAGTTTACCGGGCGTTATTTTTACAATGTGCACATAGCCAACTGAAACAATCAAATTTCTGTATATATTTTGTGAACGTTTAAGTAACGTATTGGGATTTAAAAAATCAGAGAGTGTGCTACAGATAAAAACCTCTTCCTAGTTTTTGTAACAGTGGCAGTTAATGTAAACTAGCCCTATAGTTAACAATAAGTCGTCCAAGGTCCTATGAATTTGGTGGGGGGGAAACATGGAGTGATAGTTGACAGAATCCAGTAATTTTCGTAAGCGCACTCTGCTAATGGCTAAGTTTAATAACAATTTTTATACTGGCTACGACTTTACCATGTCAATGTAATGTACATTTCTATACAGTACCTAGTCATTTATAATACTAAGTTTTAAGCGTTGTTTTTTGTCATCATGTCACAATATTTACAATATATAACACAAAACGACCGTGTCAAGCAGCCAATTGATTTTTCTTGGCTCTAGGAAGACTCGAGTGTAATGGTAACAATGAGTGTCAGCTGATTGCGCTGCTGTCATGGCTACCAACATAAATGACAGCTGGGATGTGGATTTCTCCGTTGTGAATGAGTGGTTGGGGGGGGGGGGCTGTTCTGATGAGGGGTATTCCTCCCTTACTTCCTGTAATTACTCACAAAAATACGTCAATATCAACACCGTTCTTATGAGGTACCAACATTCGCTTAAGATCTAGCAGTGTATTTTCTGTTTTAAGCCTCAGAGTAATAATTCATTCTGAGGTTAAACTTACTTGAATTATAAGTGAGGACACCCTTGCAAGCACTGTAGTATGCATAGTAACCATGGAGACTTATGGGGTTTGGGCTCGAAACCATAATTCTGTCCAGTATACGTGGAGTATGCATGTTATGATCTTTACTAAAACTTATGGGAGTTCACAAACTTTAATTTGTTTACCAAATAAACAGTCTACTTAAAAACTATTGCTTTTCCTGTGGTATTCAACAAAAAAGTACAGTATGCACACTGTAAGATTTGCCCTAAAATAAGATAAACATGTAAATTAAAAAATAAGTGTATGTCTTATGTAATAGATTGGTCTGTAGTTCACATTAGTGTACAGATCGTTAAGAGGTTAGGAGTTGTAGTTGTACAACGAAGCCATATTTCAACCCTCAGCTGTTGGAACATTTCCAAATTGTTGTATTCTCTGGTCAACGATCCAATCCACTCACACAGACTTACTGTGGAGTTTACACTACACGTTGTCGATTAATTGGACTTTTACTAAATGATCCGGATTAATAAAACAGCTGATCTTAGGTCAGTAACAAAAC